GTTTTATTATACAACTGAGAAAATTATTTCATTGTGATTGGCTCAGAGCACGCCAATTTATTGTTAATTTGTAATTTACACTGCACTGAAAATTAACACTCGCGCTTTCATGATTCTCTCAATCGTATGATAAATGAGTAATCGTATGAAGACTCGAGCAATTAAGAATTTACACCACTCATGATATTTGAAGCATTATTTCAAATTGCACTCGCCTAGGCTCGTGCAGTTTTGAGAATTTTCAAATAGCACTCGTAGTGTAAATCCTTATTGAACTCGCATTCTTACGATTGCCTATCCTACTAAATTTTTAAGAAAGCTAGGCTAATGACGACAACCTATAAAATGCGAATGACCCTGTTAGCTGGTCACACTAAGTGAAATGACTCTGGAGTACAATTAAATCTTTTAGCAAGTTGTTTATTTCCAAGTTTGATCTCCACTGGAGGACTTCCAATAATTACAGTAAAACCGTATATTTTGTTGTTGTTGTTGTCTATCACTTTGTATATATGACCGCACCTTCTTTTTGATTGGTTTAACTTGAAGAAGACTGCAGTCACTACGACCTACTATTAATACAACCAGAATTAAGTGACAAAAGAGGTTCCACTGTAAATTAATCATCTATCTATTTTACCATCTAACAAGCTATACCTCCACTGAATTTATTACAAATGAGGTAAAAGAGTCCCTACGTCTTATTTTTTTCCTGACGTTCCTTTAGTAGCCCTCTTTGCTTTCAGCCACATTCCTGCTTTGGTGTGATAATAATGGTAAACAGCTGGAGAGCGTTTCCGTTCTATTTCCAAGCCACCCTTGACCGCACCGTCAATTATGTCCCAGTCTTCACCTCCCCACGTGACTTTGTTGTCGAAACGTGTTGAAAATCCTCCAAATTTCTCCCAATCTGCTTTGTACACTGCTACTGTTCCATAGCTATAATGGAACCAGTGGCCGTTGGGAATGACACTGCTTCTGCCACAACTTAGACGAACTATTTGAGGAGCGTACAGTGTTTTTCCTTTGATGCAGTGCTGAAAAGTCAATTACAAAAAAAAAAAGGAAAATGAATGACCAAATCTCTGGACAAAAAGTGTCGCAAGAAGACATACATTCTTGTATGCACGAGCACGTATGTTTACTTGCGGCATCCAGCATTTAGTTGTTATAGAACCTTTTTTAAATGGCTGCCAACTTACCAATTATATGTATTAAAACCTCGTTTCGAGTGAATAATTCAAAAGAAGTTTGACTCTTAGTCATTTATGACAATGTTCTTTAGACCTTTAGTAGAATTATTGATGTTTTGGCTGCAATTTTCGAACTTGCCAATCCTGGCAACGGAAGATCGTTTTTATTTTCATTAATCACTTAAACAATAGAGTACTTTTCTGAATTTCCTAATGATGTGCATACAAACATATACTTTTTTATAAGGCAGCTCTGAATAAGGCAACCCTTAGGGCTGGGGTGTCCCTGCCATGTAAGTTATTCCTTTGACCGCGTTCTAATCACGCTAGTTCCTTTTGCTCTCTTCCTTAATTCCCGGACATGTTTTACCGAGTCACCTTTTCTCCCTTCCCCACAAGTTACCTTACGTATGTCGTTGATCAGCTGACTTCCAATGTCAAGATGCATGTCTATGGTGACAATAATGGCGTCAGGGTTTTTTATCGACTCTATCGCTTTGCTAAAGGAAACTGTACGAGAATAGTTTCCAGGCTGTGTGATAAAATGGTAGTTCTTCAGAGTGCTCCTCTTGAAAGCCTGTTCTAGATCAATATCGGGACTATCAAAGTCAAAAATGACCGCATGTAAATGTTCATCATTCGTTTCTTGAACAATTTGTTCTACGTTCTTGATGAAATGATGAACCCATCGACCCAGGTTCTTGGCCGTGAGGATAAGATAAACATCCGCTGTCCTGTCCCACTGCAGGCCCTTAGGATAGCATAAACGGGCGTTTTCACCTTTTGGTTGGAATACGTATTCTGCCAATATATAGCTCGCACCAGTGGTTAGATCTTTAACTTCAAGTTCAAGAAAATATCTGCTTCCTTTTTTGGGATCTTCTTTCTTCTCAACGCGAATAATGGATTTAAGCTCGTACTTCCTGTAGAGCAAAAGTAGAATTTGAGAAAAACAGAGAACAAAACCGGTTGGGTTTGGAATCCTTTTTCAGCCAATCGCGAACATTGTACAAAGCAGTCACGCCCCACTCAGGGGACTGCAAGCGTTTTTTAATTTTTTTTTTTTTTTTTTTTTTTGGTAATCAAGGTAAGTGTTGTCAGTGCCATCTGCATCGCCTGATTGCACTTTACCTGAGTATTCTGGATATATCGAGAAAACTCATTCGTAATTGTTTATTAACAGAATGGAGATATAGCCAAATAAAAAGAGGTAACAAAAACCCAAACTCGGTACTTATCTGTGTAAATAACAAAATTAATATATGAAAAATATACAAATAAATCCCCCAATAAAACGATAAATAAACAAACTATATAATTACCTAATTAGAACGAAAATCTTTGGTAGAATGGACAGCTTCAAAACTGTAACAATGTCAAAATTCTTACCCAGGGTAACTCTCCTCAATAGCTTCTATGTATCTCTCCACTACAGACCACGCCTCTTGTTCTTCTAACGGATTTTCAGCCCAGAAAACTGGATGGGCTTTTTGATTCCTTACGACGCCATCAATATTTGGATATGGGAAGCTTGTCGTTTGATGGACATGTTTTGTCACGCCATTATAGACTTGGAATTTAGATAGTTTATCGAAATTATCAGGTTCGAGAAGATAACTCGGTCTGTAATCACAAAAATCTAGCGTCCTGTTAACCGCTCTATTTTCTAAACTGGGATAAATCGGTGGCCTCATGTACTTGTTGGCGTAGCCTTTTCGATATTTGGCACAACAATGAGCCTCTGGTAATTCATCGTCAAACATTTTGTACTGTGCCTTCTCGCTGTCATTTGTGTAGAGTGAAAGCGACTCGCCTTCAATAATCTCAAACATAGACTTCCCTGGTCTTTTCCAAGCGACCTGAAGAAAGCTCTCGCCTGTTTTTCGAGCGCCAACAGAATATATTATCTCAATGAAGTATCGCTTCCTCGCTTTTAAATAAATTCTCGTCGAAATCTGAGATTTTAAAGATTCAAAGTCCCATTTCTTGATCGTTGATGGTACATCTTGCGGGCTGATATAAGCAACTTGCTTTGCTGCCCTCCAACTCTTTATCGGGCTGAGCCAAACTTCAGAAAAACCATTTGAAACAACAGCGAAATGATAATCGCCAGATAAATTGGGAAGCAAATAACCAATAAGTCGGTGCCCATCCACGCCACGATTTTTTGGAGCTATAATTTCGGTTCGAAAAATGATTTGTCTTCTATCCGGTGCTTTTGGAAAGACTGGAAAATTACAAAGTGTCTCAATGGTCTTTACGCAGTTGTTTTCCCAAACATGGTGGTTTAATCCCTTCGGTGAGTGAAGCACATTCTCCTCTTTGTCGGTGGCTGTATCTTCCAAGAAAGACAACCGCTCTAGAGAAACGACCAAACTGTTTTTGAGTTTTGTCGGATTTGGAAAACATTCTCGCCGGCCAAAAAGGCAAACATCTGTCAAAATTAGACCAAAACAGACAACAACTACGGCAACAACCACCGCCAACTTTAACGTTGAAAGATTCATTTCGTGAAGATAAAAAGCAATATTATCAGCTGGGATTGAAGCGAAGTAGCGAATGTCGAGTGTCGATCGAAAATCACAGGAGCAACAGTGATACTAGCTCAGCTTCAAACCGTCACCGAATATTGAGTGTTTTGTATTTGCAACCAAGGAGTAACGGTTGCTAGTCGAGAAAAATATATAAAATGAACACCAGCAGTAACTAAACCGTTGTATGAATGCTTGTCGGTTAGGACTAATCAGCAATGACGGATGAATTATTCCAAAATATTTCTTTAATCTATTTTATTCAGTTTAGTTACATATATATTATGTATTCCTCGCATACTCAGCAGAAGAAGACCTATAAAGTATAACTAAATAAATAAGTCACGCCCTTATTTTTGAATGATAGCACGTTCAGTCAGTTACCCGGGTAACAGTGTCTCATCTCGGCAAAACAATTGCAAGCTCTGACAACAGAGAAGGTAGACGCTAGATAAAATGGTGTACAAAATACACACGTTCAGTTCATGCGGCACGATTTCGAGTTAGTTTACTGTTAGTTGATATTTTTCTACTGGGAGATTGACTGAATCAACGTGATCAATATTAGGGGGTCAATAAAATTAAATGCATTTTGATTTAAAACAAAAATAGCTACGTATAGTGTCGATGAATTCTGTTGTATGAGTGGAAGGCAATTTATTCGTTATTTCCTCGAGGTCCTTTGTAAATGTTGTAGTTTACAGTGACTTCAAATCGAAATCAGCCCCCCTCTGAGTCATCCATCCGGGGACAATGATAATTTGGTCTGTTGAATCTGTTTTTTGTATTGGCTTTTGCAGAAGAATGTCATGTTACACACGAAAAGAGATGCTTTTCATAGGCTGAGTCCTCTCAGGCTATATTCTTTTAGGCTTCACTTACCTTCCCCTTTCTAAATTGTTTGTCTCTTAGTGTTACAGAGCCTGAATTAATTTTATTCTTACTCAATTACAATCAGCTTCAGGTGAAAGTTAAGCCGTCGTTACACTTTGAGGAGAGACTAATTTGCCATGTGAAAGCTAGAATGGAGTCAAGAGGCAGTGTGAGAGTAGTCTGGTGCAGGTGTATATTCACTGTTCTATATGTTCACGGCATGTAATGATGGCTGACTAAATTACTTTGGCGCACTCAGGGGAATAAAAGAGAAATTAACAAGGCCGAATAAACAATGGGACTCGAGAGCTGGAACAGGCGACGGATTTGCCTTTGCCAAGTATACTTTTATTTGCATATGAGAGTAAATAATCAGAAGCAATAATTACAAGGGAATGTGATATATCGTAGTCAACAGCAATCTTACAACAAGAACGTGCATATCACTTAACACTGCGTTTTCAAAACTAAGTTAACATACCCGTATACCTCGTCTCGCTTCAGCGTGTTTAATTTCACAGTCAAATTACAATTAATAGCTACAGTTTAAGGTCGGTGCAAGGTGTTAAAATTTGACAACAACCTGCTAAAGATAAACCTGTTTGTTTAGTTAGTTAGCCGATTGCAAATGACCTATATACAAAATGTGGAAAAGTTTGTACGGTATGGAAATCAAATGTGCACAACTTCAGGTGTGGTAGCCATTTCAGAACTTGGCAAGATCACAATAGACAAGATTACAAAGGATATTGCGGGATATACTACAACCAATAGAGAAATCAATACCTAGACGAGTATAAACGAAATGCAAGCCTGAAATGCAGACAGCAAATATTCAAACACCGTAATTAATTCGATAATTTCGTGGATAAGAACTCATCCGAGCCCTTGCGTCGTGTTCGTCACGGCTTTTCATTTTGAAATCTTATTACTACAAATTGATATACCACTGTAAGAGTTATCCAGGAAAACAAAACTCTCTGGCACTACTTATACGAGTTTGCCCTGTATTTCGCGATACCGTTTGAAACACCCAATCTTTTTTGGTATTCTAGCTGTTGTCTCTCGTAAAAATCTGTCGCTCCTTTCTTCAACAAGTACGCTGCACAATCAAGTCTGCCTTGTTTGATAGCTGTATGTAAAGGGGGCCAACCTTCCGAATCAGGCATGTTTACATCTTCGTTTCCGTTTTCTATCAGCTCTTTAAGCAGTTCTACATTTCCTTCTGAGACCGCACGGTGAATTCTCGGCAGCCCATCCAGCCCTACGTCTAAAGGATTATCTTCCACGTATATCTTCGGTGGATCCGATTTGCTCGGTGAATGATTACTGTTGGCCAGGTCTTGTTCTAAGTTAGGCCCATCAATGATTCCTTCTTCTTCTTGAAATTTACACTGGAATTGTCTGAAAGACCTTTCTGACTTACTCAGCCGTCTGGAAAAAGGCATACCAGAATATTCGTTCGGGTGAAATGAGTTTGAAGTTACTTCATGGCAACGAATTACCTGATGTCAAGCCTTCAAAGATCAATATTCACACGAGAAATTCTGTGGAACAAGCTTGATTTGCTTAATTTAAGACAAAGCTATAGAAAAGGTACACGTCACTTAGAGGTCTCTGAAAGGGTCGAGGTGTTAAAATTTAAAGAACTGTTAATTAGATAAAGTGTTCGTTAACCCACCGTTCACTAATGACTGACGTTAACTGATGCGTGAGAAGATCTTTTGTCAGTTGCTCAACGAGAAAACAAGATTGAACCTTTGTTTTCTGATGAGTTTTGTCAATAACCCTTGAGATTTATGATTAAATTTCTGAAATAACACAAAACATACAAATATCACGGAGTAAGATTGGGAAAGTTCTACACTCATACCATGCGCAAGGGTCGGTACGTGCTTAAGAATACTTTAGACTTACATCAAACTCCATTCGAGCAAAAATAACCACCCTGTGACGTCCGTTTTTGTGTTTCTTTGTTAAACTCTAAAGAAAAAAAAATCCGCTTTCGTTGTTCAATGTAACTGAAAGTAACAGAGCAGATTCTCGTACTCTCATAAAATGGTCCATTGTAAATCTTAAAAGAGAACTGAGACAAGAGGTGGTATAGCATTCGAGAAAGTCTCAGGATATCTGCTGCCGATAGCGATCCAGTGCTTAAGTGAATAAACAATAAAATTCAAGCTGTTACCGAGTAATGATCTTTCTAGCGGCAATAGCAAAAATCAAATTATTTGCGTTTTTAATTTCTACTGAATGACGGAGGCGCACGATACTCCAGCGAAAATCTGTCAGAATTCGGATCGCAAAACGATTGAAGAATTCGGTGTATAGTGTTAAAGTAACAAAAAGAGAAGACAGTCCAGTCAGTATAGCTACACCAGATAACATGCAGCCAAACTGAGGACTTCAGAAGCGTCTTTATGTGTTAGTAACTGAAAGGCGGCCCCAAAATGATGCTGGGTTAAGAATCTCAATTCTACGTTTAAACTTGTGGTGTGTACCGAAAAGCGTAATAATATACCGTAGCTTATTTAACAAATAAAGAAGCCTAAGCCGTGAATTACACTGTGATAAAAAACGACGGACATTTGAGAACAACATTTCTCGAGGAACAGAGGTAATGTGGCGAAAAACAACAAAACACGCTTTCCCTATGTTTTAAACTCTGATAAACATGGGTTTCTGACAAATCAGAGCGCGCGCAGGATCCTATCTATATTATGAAAAAGTTTATAACATGTTTTCCACCTTTCCTTCATCTAAACAACGTCGACTGAATTGGGTGCTTAAGCAATGACAACAGCGACCCCGAGGACAATGGCTAGTAAAAATGAATTTATATTTTACATTCGAATTTCGCAATTGTCTAGACCTGTTGAGTGGGCCTGTCGGGCTCAAAGCTTGCTCAAGCTAAAAGTGTAACGCCAGCGGTCGGTTCCAAAGGAAATGACGAAAATTTAGCCGCCCTCGTTCGCGTTCTCCAAAATACGTAGAACGTGGTCATTTCACGTTGTTGTCTTACAGAGGTCGGCTAAGAAATGTACAAAGATTTATAACGCACGTGCCGCATAGCCACTGATTTCGAAACTAAGGCTATGAACTTTTGTTTACAATAAACAATTTTGACAACGCTGAAGATGAGTATAGCAAACAATTTACCACCAATCAAGATCAGTGTTACCAATAAACAATTTCCTTAAACTATTCAATCTCTTAAGACAAATAGTTCAGTGAGCTAGGCACATTTACTTATTGAACAGCAAAGCTTAGCATGTTGTCAGGAAGTTTTACTCCGTGCGATGAATATGCACAAAACCAAGCCGTGCCATTTGGCTTGAATTCTGTGGACATGCAGACTTGCAACACTCAAAGCCGACCCGCGCTGCAAGCTTCGATGATATTACCCACCAAAAATCAGGCAAGGTTCAAACTTTACCTGACGCAGAAAAGTACTACTCGATAATTTCCATTTGAATGCTCACAGGGAGTTTCATCAGCAAAAATATAACTGAATCACCGTCAACATCCCAGCTTCTGTCGAGGGCACAGCACAAGAAGGTGGAAGTTCAGTGGCAGATGGCACTTAAGGATAATGACGTATTTAACGTAACCATGTAAATAATCAATATTGATGTCATGCAAAGACGTTGCTCGAAAGAATTATCGCTGCTATTTCACTTCAGTAAAATCTTGTTGTAGATGTACCCTGTCGATTAAAAAAGTCGTCCTTCACATTACAAATCTCTACACTTTTGATTGCAGTGAAATCTATGACCTGTTGGTACGGAACGCATGATGACGTGTGTTGCCACACAGATCTAGAAGCGAACATTGGTCCATTAGTACGAGACATTCCACTGCTATGTCGTGTACTGACAAGCCATTATTCAGATTGCCTTCCTTAGAAACACAAGTACCACCCAGTCATAAAGACGTGACATGGCGACATCACATGACCCGCCTTTTTTTTGCGGAGGATTCACTTACCGAGCCAAAACCAGCCGTTTTATGCGTGACCTGGACGCTTTGTAAGAGGTATTACTAAATTTGTGAACGTAAATCTATAAATAAAGAACTGATTAGAACTCACGTGAATGATCTAACACAAAAGAATTGACAGCTGACGGGGTTATGAATTCCTTGAAAAGAATGTTAAACAATAGACCACAGAATGATGTATGACCTGAACAACAAAAGACGGGACGTCAAGCACTCCAAACAAAGGAACCTCCCATGTGGAAAGTCGTGAATCTTTCGTAACGCGTAGGAGTTGATTTGTCTGGAGGAAAACACAGTCTTGTGCATGACCGAGCAGTTGTAAACTTCATGGAGAAGGCAAACGGACTTAATAATCTGTGCGCTGAAGATAAAAATCCGAAAATCATGAAGTTCAAAGAAGGCATGTCATTTATTTGGAAGAGAACAAGAGAAGGGCAAAGTCTCCGGAGAGCTTGTTCAGAAAGTTTTCTTTTCAGCGGCGAGTGGCTGCGATTAACAAACACAAATAAGACAGGAAGAAGCAAAGAGGAAGAACAGAATGACGCAAGTTGCGGGACTCTTCGAAGAACTGTTAAAGTTGAACACACTGGTCCTGTGAGGACAACAAGAACTGAATTACTACCCGTGAAATCATGTCTTCGTCGAGAGCAACAGGGCTCACCATCGACTCCGTCTCCAAATTGCAGACGTGTCACATTTTCCATGTATGCTTTGATTCTTACTGCTGCGAGCCAGAACTCTGTATCTGAACTGGAAGACCTCTTGGATAAAAAGCCTTGGTATATTAATAAACCGAGTTCGTCTGGAGAGACCGCTCTTCACAAGGCCGCCGCTAAAGGAAGTTTAGACTGTGTTAAACTACTCGTACAAAGAGGAGCGAATGTTAACTTGGTTGACAAGCAAGGTAGAACTCCACTGCTTATAGCGTGGGAGAACGAACACCTCGAGTGTCATAAACACATGCTAACATCAGTGAAATTAAATCACTGTAGTTGAGGTACACGAACTTAGAATGACAACTGCGTTAAGTTATTCTAAAAGTCTTACATTTTCTAAAGTTTATTTTGTCAGTATAGATTGTATTTTTAGTATTATTTAACCCCAGATGATCAAGAATGTTTTAAAGAATTGTGAAAAATTGAATGCATGTAAATATTACAATCGCGACAACAGGTATATATCAATGTTTCTATTACTGCCTCCAAGTAGAAACGAATTCTGGGTTGAAAATCAATTGTTGGGGGAAGGAAATTCCAAGGATTGTCTAGAGGCTTGCGACATTAAACAATTGAAATGTTTTGTTAGCTAACAATGTTGATATTTAATAAATTATTGAAACATTTTATTAATTCAGGTTTGGTATAAACTGTCTCATATTTAACACACTGAGTAAGATAATTTCTCTTCTTAGTTAAACTTCACCCAATGAAAACAAATTGGTCACTAACATAACGGGCTTTTCTAGTGACCAAATTTAAATGGAGAAATTGGCCGTAGGGGAAACACTTCCAAAACTAGAAACTAACTAAGAATAGGTCTGTTCTTGTTTATATCTTTGCCTACGGAATCAATTTAAAGATATGTAAAGAGACAACGTTATCAGGATTAGGTTGTCGACTGCTGAGAACCACACTGAGCTAACGTTGCTTGGAAATCACGGTTAATCTGAATACAGTTTCCTTTTATTCCATGATGAGTTTAAATTTCCAAGTCCCGAGAACACACAATCTCCGCTGTAGGGAGGCCGTTAAGAATGATCATCAACCAAAAGCTTCTCAACATCTCTTAATGGCAAAGCGTATACTCACACTAAAATCGTGTGCCACGACTCGGAAATCAGTTTTGCGCAAAAATAAGTTCACGCGAAAAAACGGGTTCCCGCAATCGTCGCAAAAACTTATACCAGTGGCGAAAAATTCTGGAAAACGCAATGATCCAACAAACTATTGACCAATATCAATAGTCCCAGTCGTGGCTAAAATATTTGAAGGGGTTGTGTATGACCAGTTACCCCACTATCTCACTGAAACTGTATTCTCTCTTGTTATCAATCTGGATCTCGTTCTCTACACTCTACGGTTACTGCGCTACTCGAAGCTATGGATAGTTGGGCCATGAATATTGATCTCGGTTTCGTCAATGCCGTTGTTTTTCTAGATTTAAAAAAGGCTTTCGACACCGTCGATCACAAACTTGTCTAATGAACGCACTCAAACTTGTCTAATGAACTCCTTTATGTCTACTCCAAAATTTGTCAAATGTGGTGTCCCCCAGGGAACAATTCTAGGACCTTTACTTTTTCTTTTATATATTAATGACCTGCTGGATTGTCCCTTTGTTTTTCACAACCTAGAATGTATGCATATGACACCAGCCTCACCTTCGCTAGCGTAGATTATAAACATACTGATGACTGTCTTAACTACGATTTAAACAGGGTATATAAATGGCTATCAGCCAATAAACTGACCTTGAATTTAACATAAACTGAGTTCATGTTAGTTACGTCAAGACAGAAGTTATCAACATTTCCTAAAATTCCTAATTCTTTCAGTATAAATGACCATTCAGTGAAGCAAGTGTCACCTACGAAATATCTTGGTCTGCACATCGACCGAAATATGAACTGCATGTGGCAGTAGTCTCTCTGAAAAGCTTCAGAAACTCCAAAATCGGGCAGCCCGAATTTTAATGTGGGCCAATTATGACGCTAATATCGATGAATTGTTCCGGGCACTGGCTTGGCGTAAACTCACATATCAACTGGATTTTAATCAGCTGCTTTATGATGTAGAAATCTTTACATGGGATGACCCCTGAGTATCTGAGTTCTAAATTTGTGTTTCGAAACACATAACATCATATCGATGAAGGAATACTGAAAATAAATTGGCACTTACGCAGCCCCGCACCAATTATTTGAAGAAGAATTCTCTTACAGCGGAGCCAGGTTGTGAAACAGCCTATCCAGTGACCGTCGTGCAGGCAACATCTTTACGGATTTTAAACTTAACATACGTCACCACAGAATGAGTTTTAACAGGGCATCCTTTTAACGCAGCTTTTAGTATGTAGTTTAGGTTAGTTGGATAATTAGTCGATCTTTTATCATTTTATAATCTTTGCTGAAGGATTTACCATGTATAAATATAAATAAAATACCATTACCATTACCGATATTATACATAAAACCAACACATGCAGAATCTTGGTGCGGTCCCATTTATTTAATTAAAACGTCTCTTTCGTTTAGAAACAAACCTCAAGGGGTATACATCAAGAGGTACCGTAGCCCTCGGCCCAATCAGCCAGATGTAGTTGTAATGGAGTGATTCTGAGTACCGTGTTTTACATCACTTCATGTTGTTTCACTTGTCGATTGCAAGTAGTTTTCAATAAAAAAAAAACAAAACAAAACAAAAGGTCATAATCGAAACAAACTCGACTTCCTTTGTGATAATCGCAAAAATTAATACCCAGCACTGAAGAAAGGATAGAAAGCAACTCCAAAAAACAGCCTTTCACAATCGCAAAAATTGCTTCCCGCAAAATACAAAAATTCGCCTATTGGCAAAATTAAGCTGCTGCAAAATTTTCGTGCCACACTGTAAGTCATTAGATGGAACAATTGAAAATGCCCGTGGGGTGGTTCCCTCTCAGTGCACCAGAAATGATCCCTCACAACTGTTCTTAGAACAACGTGAGATTAAACAAATATGAGCAATTTGCAAATATGAACTCGAGCCTTCGTACGAAGGAAAACAAAAACGAAAACAAAAACACCGTTCAATAGCCACGCCATCTTTAAATGAGCAATGCGCAATTGATCGGCCTTTATCGTTAACGAGAATTTCCAAAGCTAGGTTCGGAGGTGCTTCGCGACGGTTTGCGATGCTTTTGAACATTTCCCAAGCCTTCCGAAAGCCTTTCAGTCGATGGTCAACTTTTCCTCAGTAAAATGTAACGAGGCTCTTTGTTGGAGTGTGGTTCTTACGGTTAGTGGCCGATAGGTTGGCTATTTTACCGCCAACGGCAAATTACTTCTCATGCGGCTCACAGAAATCTTAAAGTGGATCAGTTTCTCAAAGTTTTCAGTGCTCAATTAATTAATATCTCCAAATTGTATTTAAAAAATTCCCGTAAACCCTTCTCGCCCACTTTCAAGCAAGTTTCTTTTCGCAACTCATTCTTACTAATGCTCACGGCCAGCCCCTCCCATCCACTCAACTCCCCTCGCTACCCCGTAAAAAAATAAACAGTCCCTAAACTCTTAAATAAACAAGTCTGAAGAAAGTTAAGTTCCAAAGAAGCCTCAGAATTGAAAACAAATGGTCAATGGCAATATTCAAACATAGCTGTAATATAATATAAAAATCTCAGATCAGATCGGAGGGGATAGACTGGATAATCTGTGAGTGAAACATTCCTCGACCCTGGCGAGAGATGAAAAATACTCTTCGGGATGGGGAGTGATAGCATTGTCTTCTCCCAGATTTCGCGATTTCAAATCGTGTTGACGATTTCAGTGCGGAAAAGATAAGAGACTACTTTTAATATTTCCTAAATATTACATAAACAACGCGGATGAAAATTCAAAGCACTTTATTCTACACATTATAAACTTCAATCTATTGGACTGTGGGAATTTTGGACCTATTTCTAGTGCTGGCTTAAGGCAGCTTTATTACATATTTACATCTGAATGAGACTATATTGATGATTGATCCTGCCAGTACCCGGATGAACACCAAGTTTATTTGCTAGTGTTCATATCATCACCTCTCCTTGAATAATAATGACAGGAGCTTCGATAAATCAGCACTTTCAGCTTTTACTGAAGTAGCTTGTTATGACCAGAATTTGTTCATATCCTGGACTTTAAAACTCAAAACATACCAATAACTTCTTGTGAAAGAATTTTCAGGTTAGCTTATACAGTACCGTCTTCCACACTACAGCATTTTATTAATTATCTTACGCTCTTTGAAATTTAAGTTGTATTTTTCTTCACGGGCAATTTGGTCTGGGTTCATATAATTTTAAAAACGGTAGCACGCAAAATCAAACTATCCTTCAGGATTTGTTTAAAGTTTGCTACAAAGCTCTTTACCGCGTAATCAACTAAAATAGTAAATGATCTAAATCTCAAATAACCCGTATTATTTCATCCTTAGGATTTTAAATTCGTTCTTAAATTGTTTCGTTTACTTTTTAGTGGCATTGAACTTAGGATGATATAACTGCCACACCTGATCATTGAGGTCTTATTCCGGATGAACAGAATTCGACTCCAGTCCATTTTGATCGAACACAGCTCGGTTACTCGTCACAGATTGCATCCCCATTAAGTTGCCCTGGTCGGCATTACTGACTGGTGTTTGTTGAACCATTTCTCCGCTGTCGATGCGCTCTCTTGTTCCCTTGACAACGCCCGAAACTCCTGAGAAATCTTCGTCATCCACCATCTTGTGTGCCTCTTTAATCAACTCGCCCTTTTCAATCTGCTGCGTCGTTTGCTTGGCACGGCCGGACACACTTGAAAAATCTTCCTCGTCAACCATTTTAGGCGCGTGTTTCATTAATTCTCCTTTTTCTATTTGCTGAGTTGTTTGTTTTGTGACTCCTTGAGTCACACCAAAGTCCTCAGTTTCAACCATCTTCGGTGCTTGTTTGATGAGAGCACCCGACTCAATTTCTCGAGTGGTTTCCTTGGTACGGCCATGAACTGCTGTGAAATCTTCATCTGAAATGGTTCTTTTGGTTTCTATATGAGGCGCACCTTCCTTCTCGTAGCTTGACTTCACCGCTAGGGCTACACCGCGGGCAGCTTCCAGATCCTCCCGCTCGCTATCCATGGTTCGTCTTCTCGGACCTTGGTTCTGGGCTGCTTCCTGGAACTGTTTCAGTTGCTCCTTGGTTGATCCAGGTGTCACAATAGGTTCCTCCCGCTCCACAGTCTTCTGGTCTTCAAATTCTCCCTTTTCGAACCGACTTCTGGTTGCCAAAGCCTTGCCAGGGTTAAGAGCCTCGTCCTCGACTTGTGATTTCTCATAGCCTTTGGCAGCAGCTGCTTTTAGTGCTTCTTTAGTTGCGTGAGCAACGCCAGATGGAGGAAGTTCTTCCTTCCAAGAATCCTGAATATTTGACTCGGCGTGAATAACTTTATCCTGCTCAAACATTTGCCTGACCCCACGAGTGCTGCCGGGGGGCGGAAGGGCATCTTCCTCGTCCTGAGACTGATTCTTTCGTGATGAAACCTCCACGCTCTGCATGTACATCGCTGTCCGGGCTTTAGCCTCGCCTTTGTCTGGTTCATAACTCAAGCGCCTTTGTGCCTTGCCTTCATCGTCGTTTCTTTGCTCAAATCTACGCCGCACGGAAGACGCAGCACCGGCTGAAGGCATTTCCTCGGAGTTGTTCGTCTCGCGTACGTGCCTATCTTCGGCGCGGATAACTTGACCAGATTCGATGCTTGCACGTGTTTTAGATGCAATTCCTGTGGCAGGTAAGTATTCCTCTTCTTCATCTTCCTTCTTGCTATCTACGTTGCGCGCCGTTCCTTTCTCGAATGCTTCTCTGTTCGAGGCGGCTATTCCACCTTGGATCTCATCAAGGCCCTCAAGTTCTCGCTGCTGTGAAGGAGTTTTTGAAGCTTGGTTTTCTTGGTACCTCTTCATACTTGCTTTAGTGACACCAGACAGTATTTGCAAATCAACCGGCGTTTCTTTTTCCGCTTCTTGAGGCTGAGATTCAAAAAGGTCCTTAGCTCGTCTCGCACTTCCACTTTTTGGTAGTTCTTCCTCTGCAATCTTTCCCCTTTCACGTTCCAGCTCCCGCTCCCTTTGAAGGTAGGAAAGACGGAGGGCACTTCAAGTAAGTTACACGAAATATGATTTGACTTAAGAAAAACTTAGACAACACATTTTTCAACAGTGATTGGGGGAATTTACATGTAATAATCATTTAAATTGATTTTTCTACTGCTTAATTTATTCCTAAGGAAAGAGAGAGAGAAAGATTAAATGTAGAAAATGACAGCAAATGGCAGGAGCTCAAAACTCACTAATTTTCCACAAATAATCACGTTTCTGAACGTGTTGACACTGATGGAAAGTGAAAAAATCAACTTTTTTACGTAAGTTCACTAAGCTTTGCTCCGATAATCCGGCAATGAGTTTTTCAACCAATACTTCAGATATTACAGAAGTCTACATCCTGTTTGCCAGACAGTTGCCGGCTTTATTCGCCAAAACTTGCATAATAACCGCATCAAATCGACAAAATGTACGCCCAAAGGCGAGGCGTATTCGCAGTCAAAACTTAAATTCGAGGAAAAGAATCATACTCGAAGATTTTTATCGTCGGTGTAAGTGCAGCGACAATCGACGCGACAGTGGAGTTGAGTAGTGTTCTGTCATACGTATTATAAACATTTCTCAACCAAGAGTTCTATCCTTGGTTTAATTAAGAAAAGAGCCAAAAAATTGAAAAAGATGCTTTCATTTTTCACTTTAATACACAATGCTCTTCTGTTATATGAAAGAAACAGATTCTATCCCCTTAGGCCTGACGATGGTTCGTTTGTAGCGAGAAGTTTCTACATTGTCGCTTTTTATTAAAGACGCGTTACCGAATTTGAGCTTTGTACTATTACTGAAGCGACCACAGATACAGTAGAAGACGGATTATCGCTCGAGAAGACCAAAAACTGGTTTGCAACTACATCAAAAGCAACTGGCAGTAACACATACCTCAGCAGTGAAGCGAAATTAACCGGTTGATTGGAATACTCAACTGAAATCACTCTAGCAGGCGCGACGTGCTGGTGAATTCTAATGAACTACGATAGCAGCATTTGGCCACGTTGACTTTCGTATCGCTTTAAGTGATAGCCAGCAAAACAACAATAAATCAACCAATACCATCACGCCATTCATAAAACAGCTTATTAAGGCACGACTTAATGGCAAAGTGCTTTCCAGTCTTTCCTCGCAGTTCGCAACAAAGGGTAAATGAAAGATTAAAGAAATACTGAACTAAAGGAAGCAGGTGACGGGAGGTAATGTAATAAAGTTATCAATGAAACACCACGCGAGATCCACCATGTAATGCTCGACATTGTATCCCGGCCCTTCCGTTTTGTTCTTTGTATATTCCAGTGTTTCACGCCGTTGTTTGGCGAGTTTTCAACCATACAATAAAATGTCCTAATGACTTACACATGGAAGACTTATTAATAAAAAAATTCCCGCTTTGCGTGAATATCTTTTAAGATTTTTTGTTAAAAAATAAACTTGTCGTTCCAAATCAAAGAAATGGAAAATGGCCACTCAAGAATTTAGTTGTTGATTTACTGCCTGGTAAGTGTGTTCCTTCCTAATCCACCTCTTACAGTTCCGTAGTAATTCCTGGAGACCTGCTATTTTTCCCATCGCCTTTGTTGGCATTCGCCCCCACTGGCTGTCACGCTACAATCAAAGCGTGACAGGTGGAACAAAAAGAGAAGTTTCCATTCCGAGAACTCTTTTCCTCTCCTCACTGAAATCGTTCTATAATGTACTAAACGGGAATTTTCTTGACTGTTTAACTTTGAGACAAAACGTATGTTATTCTTCTCTACAAAAACATATAAATTTCAATTACAGTTCAACATATTTTCTTAACAATTATTATTATTTGGAGCTAAATTGACAGTCGATAAACCTTCCGATTTTGCGGTTCTTAGGAGTTTTGGCCGTAGAAAAGCCATTTAAACAACCATGTTCAGATATTGAGGGCTGAAAACGTTCTGGACGTGTTTTACAGCGGTGAAGGGACTCCTCAGTTCGAAAAATATAGAAAGCTGGGCTTGTTACTGACAAACTTGCAAGGCTTGTATGAACTAAAGCTGGGTTTCGGAGACAAGTCCTATTTATATATGGAGACTGTGAAGTGACAAGATCCCTCATCTTCCCATGACAGATGACCTCAACGATTTGAAAATAACATGCTATACTGTTATCTCCAGTATATTGCCTCGGCTTGTCTATGTGACAATTCTACTTTGGAGATCAAGATTAAAACTTTGTTACAGAAAACGTGCGATACTGTAAAATTTAAAAAAAATCGTTCGATAATGTTGGACATGACGCCTTTTCTTTCATCAGAAATCTTAAGAATTCCGACCTTTCACCGACACTTGGCAAAATATCTGTGCGATTCAAGATGTTTCCTCTTTTGACATCTATCGCTTGAAGAGAGAAGAGGATGTTGAAAGACTAACAAACATTTTTCATCTTCCTTCCCATATGCTACCCCAAATTACCATATTTGCTTAATTTTGACATGAGATTCATTCAAGTGCTTGCTTTGTCTCGACCTTCGATAGTAGTGTTCTCAGAACAAAGCAAGCTGTGGTAATCAGATGTTAGCGTTATTCATCGAAATATCGTAGACCCAGATAAATCAGCTGGGCGCGAGAGTTTTTATTGGCTGTGATCCATGTCTGTGTTATTGCGTGACGATTCTCCGCGCGTAAATTAACATCTGTCAAAACTCAAGAAAGTCAGCTTTTTCCTATGAAGGTAAAGGTCATTTTTGTTGTAAGAACACCGCGATATAATTTTACGACGTGTGCTTCAGTATAAAGTTCCAGAACCTTCTCAGCCAGTAGCCTTAGCAAGTTTTTGGGTCGTTTACTTACAAAGTTGTCACAAAAACCACGTTGTTTGGCAGTATATATGACACAGTCGTCCAAACATTTTCCTAGTCTGTTTGCACAGAAGACATATTTCTGCATCCAGTTTGGGCCATAGTAAACACGTACAAATACAGTGAAAGCCAGGATAATTAGCTTAATGTATATAATTCCAGTTAAGAAAAGCTATAAACAAGATCCTCGCCATCTCAATCGGTTGTTTTAGGGACACGACTTAATGTATGAAGTTCCCGACAAGGACTAAATTTAACTCTATAAACAAAAGCACAAAAGTTACCGATTTAGGCAATATCCAATCGACTAAACATCGACGCAAATGAGATAGCCATAGAAATATAACAAACTGCAGTAATATTCAGTTCTGAAGAGAAATTGTTCATGATAAGAATGGACGATCGCTCAAACAAACTTGTAGTGCGGTCAGCATTTTATTATGTCAACATCACAGGCATCAATTTGCAAATTTTACCACTGATACCTCAGAAAGATCGCGATGTTTCGGTGGAACCGAATAACATTTCACCGTACCTTCTTTCGCGTTCAATCTCTTCTTGATCGACTTCTTCCCAATAACTCGCACTCCTTTCTACATCCTCTCCATCACGGAGTACGCTTCCCTCCTCTGACAACTCTGCATCACCGTTGACTGGATCCATAATTTTTTTCTCACAGGTAGATTGAGACCGTCTGACTCGTGCAGTGCTGATCCGAGTTAAAATGCCAAGAACGTCAAGGCTCTTATGCTGCAGTGCCTATACAAACACGCCCAGATAAAAGCTGACACGCATACTTGAAGAATGCTTTGTTGTTGATGATCCGCTTGCCTGATCTAGCCAATAGGAACGCTCAGATATGTAACAGCCGATTTCCTTACACTGGCTTGTTTTGGTCAAGTAGGACGTAGAAAATACGACACAAGCGACATGATGTCATTTCAAGTCAAGTTTTCTTTTGTGATTTCTAAATCTAGATCAAGTTAATTGCCACGCTAGCCTCGAAATGAATGTAAGAAGAGAAGTATTCATAGCAATCTAAAGAATCTAGTTTCTTTGTCTTAAAACTTTCTTCGGAACCCAAACATTGCCAAGGCAAACAGATCAGCAGAGTCAATTTATTCATTGACAATTATGAACATGAAATCTATGGGATTTAAGCCAGGAAGTCTTTCTTTAGCTAGGAATGAGAACGACGTTATGCTTTGGACCTTCATATTCTGTCATGTTTTTCTCCGCTTATATTAGGCAGCAACTCTGGTAAAATCCAAGGTCACACGCTTACAATACCAACTATGCTTGTCACGCAAACATGTCCTTTAAATTTGATCGATTAGTTGTCTTCGTATTTTAGCTCGACTAAAAATATTGTCCTTTTCTGGGCATTGTTTAATTCTAAGATCAGCGACCGCAGCAGCTTGCTACGAGGTAACAAAAATATGTAAACTGTTTACCGAACAAGAGAGGCATGTTGCCACAATTTTCAACAACCAAAAAAGACTAAGCAAGGTATTAAGTGACGCTGCGATGAAAACAAAACTCGCTAAAGGAGTTTCGTGTAAAAGCTTTCGCTTTATCCCAAGGCGATAAGTTTAAAATATCTGGCTTAAGTACCTTGGACATAGAAGCAGCAGGCTTCCAGGGAAAATAAATAAACTAATGGTCATTGACGGGTTAAACGTCTATATGAAAGAACCGAGAAAAATTCCAACTTGGTGCCAACTGGTACATGTTTATCAGTGATAAGATGTCTGCAGTGTTATAGCTCTAAGGTTTCTTCTCCTGAACGTCACAGCTGACCAGAGTTAAGTCAAATCTGATCTGCAGGCCTGCAATTTTTTAATAATTTATTCTTTGATTCAGTATTTAGACCCCGTCCATACGTATCCGGATATTTTTGAATCCGCAACTTTTTCTTTCCGGATTCAAAAATTTTCCCGTCCACACGTAGCGTATTCAAATCGAATTCGCCTGTCCACACGCATCCGATGGTGATTCACTGTAGAGAAACTGGGCCTTCACGTCGTGCCGCCATATTGGTTTATTGTTCGGTAAGAGACTGGACACGATTTTGCTACGTCATCGGATCCGAAAATATCGGGATTCATCGTCCAAACGTTATCGGATTTGTTGCAGATTTATTTTTTTCCACACTGGAGAGCGGATTAAAAAATATCCGGGTTCACTGATATTCGTCGGATGCGTGTGGACGGAAGCCATATCCGGAAAGAAAAAGTTGCGGATTAAAAAATATCCGGATACGTGTGGACAGGGCCCTAGTCAAAACATCTCAAGTATGATAACCAAAAGAAACATAACTTTAAGTAGAGAAATTGCTTTTAAACAAAGAGAAGGAATAAAGTCAAAAAGCGAAAGAAAAGCAGTTAAGATTTCATTTTCATATACTTTATTTATTTTTTCCCCTAAAGTTTAAATCCTCCTCGAGAAGGCGGCCCATGTAACATTTCCTCAAAAAAAGCGAAAGCATGGCTAGACCAGTGCACTCATGAACGGTTGAAAAACAACACTTCACTTGCACATTCAAGGATTTTATTCCAGAAATAATCCTTCTAGCCAGCTGTCCACTTATCTAGAAGGTTGAAAAACGGCTCATTAAATGACTTTGGAAAAAAAAAGTGGCGTGGTTGCCTTCTCGTGCAACTAACACGTAGTTTGGTTCACGTGATGTTTCGTACTTCATTGATTTGCTTGGTAGATTTTTAGTCTCATACCTTCCGGTAGGCAGTGAAACAGTTGACCTCATTCCAACTTATCTAAACACACATTTCAAAATGAAATGCATGTGCTTTTGGAAGGGCTATCAGAAGGAGAAAACATATTCCATGAGGTCATGATTACTTCAGAATATATGAGGGCAAAGTACATGTAAGAATGAACTACAAGTACAAGTAAGGTCACTGCTGTAAATTAAAATTAACCAGCTGCTTGACTTAGCAAGAAATTTCTTGATCATTCTTAAAGGTGCCATAGAATTCAGGATGATCAAATAACATTAATTTTACGCAGTACAATGTAACATGGAAGAAACAACAAAATGCCATTAAAATGAATGCAATCCAGAAGAAAGCCTATAATAAAATTGACAAAAGGAACATACAACAAACTTATGAATTGTCAAAGTTTGGCTAAGATGGACACAGAACTATAGAATGTTAGAAACCGTCTTTTACAGAGTATTACAGATACTAGAACAATTAACTGTTTTTCCCAAAGTTTGATACATGTATTTTTTAGCAATGTCTGACAATTAGCCAAGAGTGAGGAAAGATACATACGTGATGGCATTCCACAATCCACTCCAAACGTTCACAATGGATAAAACAATGCATACTTAGTGCACCATAAATAACGAATCCACTCAATAACTGAGTAAAAAATAAATTGCCTCTTGAAAAATTAATACTTTAAGCATTATTCACATTCATGACATCCTCAGACAATATGTGGAGACCTGATAAATCTGCATCATTATTTTATAATACAATTTTTAGTCCATATGTGCAACTTTAAAAATCTAATCTACATTAATATTAAGGTGGCTTACGACCTCCATGTGATTCGTTCCACCAGCAATTTCTGCTTCAAGTCAGCCTAATGTGAAAAATCACTTTGACTCCTCTTTGACAGCACATCAAAGCTGTAAAGCAGGGTGCATTTTACTCAATAGAATTACAAACTGTGGCACTAAATGCATCATGAGTGATCAGGGTCTGAATCTTGTAAAAGTGATGCATCTCTTAACTGATTTACTAAACTCTCCTCTTCTTTGCTATTTAATGTTGAACCAACTTGTATGCTAGGACTAATAAGAGGCTCTAAATGATCTCCATTGACCTGTAGAGAAACAAAGAAGAAACAAGGCAACGTTTGTGAGAAAAATAGTCTTAAATACCTTATGGCAATAGAGTAAGTACATTGTACAACGTCATCAGGTTAAAAAGCAGACAAGCATGGGAACTGTTTTGTATTACAGAGTTAATAGAGTTCTAACAAACAGAACTCTCAAACAGAGTGCAGTGACATGTCTGGCAAGTGAATCATGGCAAAACATTCTCAAAACATTCAAAACATTCCTGTCTGGTTTAGAATAGCTTGGTCAAGAGCCCTTCCTTGGTCTTCGGTTGGTGATGCTGGTACATTTGCACATGAAGAGTTCTTAGTCAACATTACTCAGACTTTCATTTAGAAAGAGGCAAAGAACGTTATGATTAATGCACTCCATTCCAATTTGAAAAATGAACCAGGATTTGAGTGGAGTCACTTCCAATCTTCTTTGGTTACATTATTTTATACTTTTTCTTCACAGCAACTAGCATCCCTTGCAGATTGATCCAAATAAATCTGACAAATACTGAAGTGTACTAACATCCAATTCATAAGTAGGAGAAACAATATTCTGATCACTTCATATAAACCTACAGTCTGTACAATGAATACTGTTATACATGGAGCACAGACTGGTATGCCCATAGGCTTAACAAACTCAAGTTTCATTCTCCATTATTATCTGTACTTACCATGGAATTAAAAAGTGATCTCCTAGCTGGTGAAATGTGTAAGACTCCATTAGCAGGACTGTTATGGGGAACAGAATAAATAGGTTGTGGAGAGGTTCCAATGGGGGTTGAAAGTCCAAAGGGATTAGCAGAGGGTGATGCAGGATTAGATCCTGGATATGAGTTCATTTCTCTTCCTAAGGTAGACAACTGCTGTGTCAGTCCTAAAAGTCCTCCTTCATCTACACACAGAATAACCCATATAACATCTGCAAAAAATTAACAGCACAATTTTTAAGATCATCATTGCAACCAAAGTAAACTTTAAAGTAACAGTAGCGTGGATTATTTCTTTATTGATACAGTCGACCCTCCCATAAGCCACCAACCAAAATGTCAAGCCCAAGTGGTCACTTATGCAAGGTGGTTGCTTACAAGAGCTAATAGACCATACTGGGTCAAAATTTTACCTCATTAGCATATGGTAACAGCAGAGACTCGCCCATGTTTTATTCAAGTGAAAAGTTAATCTAGAGAAAACTCTGGTACTTCCCATTGAAACAATTCTGTCTCTTGTACTACCCAGGAATGGGTTAATGTTACAACAACTTATTATCCAATTTTCATTCTATTATCTGTCAAGTGGTCGCTTACGGGAGGTTGAAAAGAAAAGAAAATGTCACACTTTAAGTTCTAAAAGCGGTTGTGGTCACTTATGAGAGGTGGTCGCCTACAAGAGGTTCCAAATACATGTATGGTGATTTGACTCGGAAACTTTTGGTACTTTCAATTGGAAAACTGGTGGCTGAGGAGAGGTGGTTGCTTACGAAAGGCAGTCACAATTGGAGGTTTGATTGTACCCATATTTGCAATGAAACAAAAGCATAAAAAGTGGCTTTAGTTCAAAGTTGAGCTAAGAAATGTTGAGCTTGACTGAGCCAAAATTTGTTGACCAAGGCTTCACTTCTACCAGGTAAAGTATATCTTAAATTTGTGATGCATTTCAATTTGCCCAATTTTGGTCACTTTTTCTTACGTAGCCTCTGGTTCTGTTACTAATGACTATAGTTTCTACGTGTACATTAGTTAAAATTAACAAACTATAAAGACAAGTTTGCAGACTTGACAAAAAAGAATATACATGTAGCATGAACAAACCATGGCAAGGAGAGAAAGACATTGAATAGATTCATTTAACAGAACCATAAAATTTACTCACCCCCAAAATATTGTCCTGATGGCAGGCACATGCGCCACTGCCCCTGATACATGCCTGGTTTCCCAGGTGAAATCATGTTGACACTTAGATCGTAATATTCACCAGCATCCAAAGGTTTAACAGACACCAAATTTACAGGACCCAACTGATCTCCAGCTGTGTATTTTAAAAACACTCCAGATGGCCAAGCAGTATTTCCTAAAGACACATAAAGTTGTGTTAAACAGTTTATTTACTGTCCAAATATCTATCTATTCCACCTAACAACGCCATTCATGGACCCTGAACTGTTTTCTATTACTTTCTGATTAACAACAGTGTATGTCGGATGACAAAAACTAACCACCATATAAAATGACATTTGACTTGCAGGATGATCTCAAACTCCACAATTTGTGAATAAATTCTCTAATTATGTTTACCATTATTCTGAATTCTCCAGGTTTTCACAAAGCTTGTATTTGGTTGAACTGATTCCCCTTCTCCTATTGTCACATCTCGGATAAAAGACATAGTTGGAAGCTTGTCCTGAGAACCATTGAAATCATAATATGCGCCTACTGCTGCCTACAAACACAACAAAGGTTGATTGAATATATGTAATAAATCATTTTGAATTCACACCTTTATAGTATCTTTCAAAGTATTCTACACAGTTCTATTAAATTTGAACAATCAAAAAGTCAGATGAGTAATGTTAAAGTTGAGATCAGGATAGGAGTATTGAACACTACATTGTTGAGGAGTTGAACACAATTTTCAAATTAAATACTGTTAGCCTTCATTAGGCAATGAGTTCCTTGTTTTCAAGTCACTATTTGAACCCTGTTGGTTTCTTGTGATTGCTACATTTTGATCCTCATACTACTCTGACCATTAGATGTCGTTTCCTCATAAGTTCACTTTGTTACTGACTGGCTGTTGTGCTACTTGATATTTGGTATCCATGCTTCAGGAATTTCTTCATAATTAGGACACCTTAAGTGGATGGCCTCTTTAACCCTATGAGTGTCAGTACCAATTAGGATCATTTCACTGAATTAATAAACTCTATCTTGTTTGAAATACGAAAGCTGACCTTTCAAGCTGTAGGGTCAAAGAGGCTATCTCCATGTTGCCATGCCAACATTGACCCCAACCCCAATCCCACCCCAACATATACTTCTGAAAATATGATTAGTAAAAGAAGAGAGATTAAAAAATACTCTTATAATAGGCACAGACGTGGCATGCATATATTTTCCGTTAATTTTGTGAGAATCGTTTCTGTAATCTGGCTATAACATAAACACATGGGTTGGTTCAAAATTACAATTTACCATTTTCCTTTGTTTCATCTACTGTAGATATGAAAGAAAATGTATGTTTTTATACATGTTATCATATATTACCACACACTAGAACAAATTAACATGCCAAATTGTACCACACAAAATGAACTACAATATATATAATACAATGTACAGCTATGATACATGAACATAATTCAGCTACAAAATTGAACTTTTATGAATAATGAAAGCAAAGCAATTTTCTTGTCATCTAAGCTTATATTATAATATAATATAGATAGGACCCTGCACGAGCTCTGATTGCCCAAAAACCTATGTTTTATCAGAGTATAAAACATAGAACAAGCGTGTTTTATTGTTTTTCGCCACATTACCTCGAGTCAACATTTTTGTTAGAGATGGCAAAAAACATTTTATTTGTTACATGTAGCACTCTTGTGGTATTAAATTGCATCAGTTTGTCGATCTGTGCACTTTGTTGTTTCTACTCTACCTGTATATCATAAAGCAAATGAAGAAGCCTAAGCCCTATCTTACACTGTGATAAAACACTCCGGACATTTAATAACACTCGAGAAAGGTAGAAACACTCACCTACAGCTCGTGTTTTATCTTTTCTTTCTTTCTCTCTCTTTTTTTTTTTTTTTCTTTTTTTCGTGTTTTCTACATTTCCCTCGTGTTCTCAAATGCCCATCATGTTTTATCACAGTGTAATACATGGCTTAGGCTTCTTTATTTGTTAAATAATGCCATGAATCAGTTATATTAAGTTCATGATTTTTGTATATGTACACAGTATTGTAAATTGACAATTAAATGAGCACGCACACAACATGTATGTTATAAAAGATGTCTCCCTACTGTCAAAAGATCCAAATACCCGTTGCAAGCCCACATAACATTAGCCAAGGTAAATGACGCGGTTGGTTGATGGTTGATGGTTGATATTAGATCACAAAATAATTATTTAAAGTTAGCTGTTACATGTACTGTAGTAGTATTTAGAGGAGACAAAAACCTGGACATAAGCTTAATACATCACAAGCCAGTTTAGCCAAAAGTTAACACCCCAACTGAACTGAAAGTCTTCATTCTAAGCCAGTTGCAATATTTTATGTATCGTGAATATCAACATGTAAGTTCAAGTATTAAAGTTTATTGAACTGAAGTGGAGTTTAATTTACATAAAGCTTACCTGGAGATTCCTTGACACGAACATGGCGGAAAAAACAAAATCTCACATTAGCTACTCTTTCTACAAATTATAATATCCACAAGAATATAACCTTACTCGCTAGAAAATAAATATAAACTTAAGTTAGAATTTAGAATTACCAGTTCGTCATGTCTAAGAAGAAAGCACATCCTGTCGGGTTGAGTTGAAAATCCAGTAATCTTTGAAGCTCACTAATAAGGACATCGTGATCAGTCGTTCCCAGACAACTAAATTTCGTCAACAAATCGCCATCTAACTCGCAGTCTACGTCCATTTTAAGTCTTCTAATTCTCTAAGAATGTCATAAATTCGATTCTAAACAACGCATTTCAAAAGCTCCGAACGGCCAAAGCCAAGCATGATGACGTCATACATTTTAGCAGTAATCCCTGACCACAAATACTAAGGTTTCACAAATCTCAAACATTAGCACCCAGGCCTTTTTCTCAAGAGCTAAGGCCACACATTTTGAAATGGTGTTTGCAAAATCGCTTAATTTTTTGGTGTTTTTTTGTATGTTTCGAAAAGTATGAGACGAGGATTTGAGCAGGAGAATCTATACACTTTGTCTAAACACGCTACAGAGTTTAAAAATAAGGTAACTAACCCTGTAATTTTGATTTAGTTTGAGGGGACTGCTCTGTATATCAGATGATATATGACTTCAAACATTCATCTCCAAATTCACATAGAAGCTTAGTTAATCCTTTACTCTTCAAGGTTAAAGTCTTGATTGAGAACGATGAAGAAAGAGTTGCCTTTTATGAGGCTCTCCAGGACTATCAGGGGTAAGCGCCTAGTTATTTGTTCCAACATTTAATTAGGCTTAAACACTTAAGCTTTATTGTTTTGATTGCATTAATTTGGAGTGCAGATCGACACACACATTTACGACATTCTTAAATCAATTCATTCATTTATTTATTCATTCATTCATTCATTCATTCATTTATCTATATTTACAATTTATGGCAATCAGTTAGCAATTGCAAATCAATCCGTAAAAACATACATGTAGCTAAATGAAGGGAGGTCTTCCTTGGAAATAATCAAACCTGACGGAGACTTACAATTTTGAATGAGAACAGTTTTTAGTTAACTGATTTATACCACTAATTATTTTTTGCTTAACATTTGAGTATAAATTTCTATCAACCTGACCCTTTACACAATATTTTTTCCATACACAGTTTGCACATGTTTTTGCTGTTTATTTTTATTAATGGTTAATTAAGCAATAAATAAATTATTGATTAAAATTATTTCACATCAGGTCCAACTCACTCCAAAAACTTGTGAATGATCTGAAGTCTGTCATCAACACTCCCAAGAGATATCCACTATTCAGAGAAGTGAAGTAGGTTGTACTTGATACATGTATGTTCCTGACTGCTTCAACTTAATTTATGGGGAACTTCTTCCCTTGAATTTGATCAAGTTGATCTTAGTCGCCAAATTTACACAACAGTGCAACTGGCACTGTCAATAAATTATTCATTGTATGATATACTGTACTGAATTTGATCAACCCCTGGTAGTGTTGTATGTCAATTCTGTAGACTTGGGTTAGTTACATGCATCATGAAACAATGAAGTATAAGATTAGCATGCGGTTTAAAGGACAACAAAATACTAAATCCTGTTGAAATTGAGTGTAGCATAACTTATTTTTTAGGACTGATATCTACTCTAACTTACGACAGGTATTTGATAAAGCCAGCTGACACTACAGCATTCCTNAGGTTCCTTATTGTTAATCTGTTACAGGGCGGGAGCATGGAGTTGGAATCTTTGTGTCTCTTGTTTCACGAGGTTCACAGGCAGACATTGTTGGACTAAAGGTACTTTTCTGCTCAGATGTACCCTCTAAATCAGAACTTTGTCTTAATAAATTTTGTAATCAATACTTCAGTATTTAAATTATGTTGGAGCGTATTAAGTTTAGCCTGTTTGATCTACATGGTGATCATTAATTTCACCACTCACTAGTCTAAAAGGGAGTAACTGCCCCATGACAATTATTGTCATGGGGCAGTTAAGGTTACTCCAAACCTTCACGGGGTTACATTTACCAAATTTTCTTTTTTTCAAGGAAACCAAAGTTCATTATTTAAGGTAACATTTTCCAAGAAAGTGAAAATAAAATATTAAAACATGGGGGGAAAAAGAAAAAAAAAGAGATCAGGAAAAAGAAATTTGTTAATAAAAGTTAATAAACCATAAAGGTGTCTTAATCCCAAAAAGGCATGGACTCCTCAGTGACCTTTTCGCGGAAAACGGCTTAATCTGCAGATCCTATATTGACTACTTTCAATTCAAGATTTCATGCTCTTCAAGAGTGACTCCTCATAATCACACTTCAGCAATTGCTCTTCAGTTTCGTTTTGTTTTGTGGCTTATCACTTTCCTTCTGTTTTGTGCATTATTGTTGACTACTGGCCTAAAACATGTGCACCTAAAACGTGACTGTAACACTATCGCTTTCCCGTGAAGCTCAAGTTTGCATACTGTGAACGCTGGGAGGAAATCAATCTGCAAAACAGAATATAATATTATCGAATTCTACATATCATTACCCTTCTATTGATATATAGTTTGTGGGGATCTCATCACAAAAAAACGCGCATGCGAATTTTTTTCTGGATGACACCCGCAAATGTTTGGAGTAACCTTAGTTAGTCATTGTGTACATTGCCATCAGTTGAACCACCACAGATTGTATTCCCTTTACATATACTGTTCCTACTTTCTTGCTCTGTATAGGCAGGAGATGAGATTTTAAGTATCAATGGATTGTACATTGCGGAATCAACTCATGGAGAGGTAGTCAACATCTTGAGGTCTCAAAAAAATCTTCTTGTGAAAGTTAGAAGTAAGAATTTCCTTTGATTACACATTACAAATAGTTTATTTAAAAACATTATTATATATCCACTTTAATAATGCACCAGTTGATTATTTTATTATGAAGACTACTCACTCAGTGAGTTTGATGATGTTCAATTCTCTTTTATTCACAGCCACAGGGAAAGTGCCATGCAAAATGTGAGTGCCTGGCGAACCATTAATTCATCACTCTACATGCTTCTTATAGTGACAATTAGTATATTAATATTATTACTTTTTTGTTCACTAGCTATTGCTAAACATGTGTTTATTTATAATAATATTTTATTTATTGACTTTTAAGTTATTAAATTTGTTTACTTATTAATTATAATTTTTTTCCAATAGAAATGATATCATCAGCTGGGAAACTGCAGAGGGAAAAGAAAATGTTTATTATCATCCTGACTTACTGGTGAGTAATTAAAACAATCTATAAAGAAACAAAATATTGCATGTGAAACAGATCTGACTGGCAGTATGCATACATAGCCTAATAGTCCCATGTATAACTGTAGACTTGTTCATACAAGTACAGTTGTATTCATGAGAAGTTGCGTGCCCATCAGTACATTATCATGTCAGTATATGTATTGCCTTGACTGCTTNTTTTTTTTCTAGATCGGTGATCAAATAGTGGCAGTTAATGGAAAGAATATTATGAAACTAAGGTACTCAGAGGTAAGTTCATTGAGATTTTTACTATTCACAAATTCACACCAGTGGGTGTGTTAAAAAGGCCATCCAGGAACATTGGGGATGAGGAAATACAGACAGTCCTCCAGTCTTCAGCATGAGTAGAATCAAGTTAAAACGGGCAAACCCACCCCCAACCCATCACCTGACAAACACACCCCACCTAAGTTTGTTCAGTTCAAACCTCTTTTCTTTTCTCTTTTTGATATAGGCGATATACTTGCTGAAGTCTTTCAAGGAATTACAACTTGTTCTCCGGCATGACAAGGTAACTGGTAATTTGTATTACATTTGGAGCATTAAGTAGGGGCCCGTCTTTCGCCAGTGGTGTAATACATTGCTTTTGTTCAAGCAAGCATTACATTTTTTGCAACAGGAAGCAGAACAGTTTATCATGGAGGAAATTGCTAAACAGCAGAAGGACAAACTACCAGAATTTGCCATTAAAACTCAGCTGCTAACTCGAAAAGCGGAAGAAAAAGAAAGATTAGATAAAGCCAAAGAACAGATGCACTTCAAGCAACTGCTGCAATCAAAACGTGAAGAGGATGATCAGGGGCATGAGAAATCTAAGGGAGCAACTGAAGGTATAGTTAAACCTGTTGTATCAGACTTGTCTTGCAACACTGTTGCATTGAAACTTGACAAACATCTTTGCTCGTATTTAACTACCAGCTATGTGGCAAGTTGCGGCAGTGTGAACTTTGTGCAACGTGATGCCACGATTAACAACTTGACTAGTAATACACGCTATGACGCTTTCAACGTTGTCGAGCGACAAGTTGAAAGATAATCTTTCCCTTATTACTCCACGTTAATGTAGATTACAATATGGACAATTTATAAAATGCGAGTCTCGTGAGAGATCTTTATCATTTGCTCGTTAATAAGTCCCAACTGTGGACTAAGATAGTACACAAAATAATAATCAACATGCAGTTAAGTTGTTTTAAAACTCTTTCTCGTTAATTTCCTGTGATTTTCTGCTCAGGAAGGGAAGTAGAAAATGCAGAAGTCAGTCAGCCGTCCAACAAATCCCAGTGCTCAGAGCTTACACCCAACAGTCACAAACGAGCAGCGTTTTCAGAAACGTAAGTTCTCTGGTCACGGTTTCATTTCAGTTCAGTGTAAATTTGAATGCATCTTGAAGGACTCAGTTGAATGAGAGCTGAGATGTCTTTTCATCAGTGAGTCGCAAACTGCGGCTTATCTTCTTGGTCTTGCTACTGGTTTCATGTTTGTAGTTTCCTGAATTCTGAGAGGATTATTAATTATAGTACTTTTAGTGTGAGTTAACAGAACTGTTCACTCTCAGAAAGCGACCTTATTTTTAAGTTATCATCCAAGAATTCAATTCGATCTGGTTGGGGGCGAACTTGATCAAATTGAGTCAATGTGGGAGCGAACTCGGTGGGGACGAACTTGCTATGAGGCGAAACCGGCAGCTACCATTAAAAATAACAAACAATGAATGAAGATTATTCCCTGAATTCTCCTTTACCCTCCTAAAACTAACTGCATCATAAGCTAAGAATGAAACGCAAAAAGGCATTGTGGTTGTAATCAGACATTGTAAGAACTTATGTAAACCCGCAAACTTGACACTGATTAATAGCACTGTTTTTTAGTTCAGTACCAGGTCACCTTGAAATAGACCCTCTGAAAAAGGATGGTATAAAATGTTTCAAGTTTGGCCCTCTTTTTTCTCTATTTCAGTGTACAAGTTGTTGTTGCAGGAACCAGTAAAAACTACCATGAAGAAACTGTGGTCAGTGATGTGCATCCCGCGTCTTTGCATCCCAGCAATGTACAGGTATTATATGAAGTCAACCGAAAGGCAGGGTACACAATGTTCCTTACATAAACGTACAAGAAAGTTCACTGACCGGGGACTCACACCACATGTCACACTGTAAAGGATAATGAGCCTAACTTAGTAACATAGCCTACAAGCAGGCTCAGGCACTGCGCCACAATCAAAGGTCAAACCCTCAGAGATGAGCCGGTGAAAATAAGAGCTCTGATTTTCACCGGCTCACTTTGCTCGTCGACTCGTCTCTCGCTGCGTCACCTTTGCTCGTGCTGGAGCGCATTACAACCTGCTCGCAGGCTAAAAGTAACCCAGCGGTAACATATCAAACACGAAAGACCGTTTTTGACCACATTTCAAAACATCGAGAAGGGAGTTGAAAATACGATGCGCAGTGGAGTATTTTGATTTCTGACGAACCTCAAGGTGTTTGGAAATGTGGTCAAACACTGTCTTTAGTGTTTGATATATCTTCTCAATCGAAACTAAAACTAGGGAGACAACAGAGAAACAAAATTGTCAAAACCTACGCTAATTAAGACCGTCATGATTTCCGTTGTCGAAACTCGATGAATTATTAATGAATTAAGAGGATTCCAGAAACTAAGTCGGATTGTGTTACTTTGTTCACTCAGAGTACAGAACTCGGTTAACAACCAGAAACAACAGCAAGTGAATTGTTTAATACTATGATGATCATTTCCCGCTTGAATTTTCTTTTGTTATAGTTTGAAGATGACGTGCTTGAGGGGAGAGAAGCTCACTTTTTGTCAATTGAAAAGGTAAATAATAGCTGACCTTTGTGAAATGTTAATGCCTCTGACCGGTGTATTTATCTTTCGAGATCTCTAATAAAATCCTGTTTATTGTACTTGGAACAATGCCGCGGCTGCGGTTTTAAGGGTTCAATAGTACTTATATCCGCCAAGCCTATGCCACCCTACCTGAAATGAATCGTGACCAGTCACTCGAGCGTAGTCCCAAGCCTTTTTGCTAGTGAGAATGTCGGCTAAGTGAGTTTTCTACATTTTATGTCTTGACATTTTCTTCTTTCTTGGTTTTAAACTGCAGGTGTCAGAGTTAGGGCTAGAGTTGGAGGAACGCGATGGCGGAATTTACGTGACCGGTGTTCAAGAACATGGCTGTGTGGCTGTACACGGTATGTTTCTGTTTCCCTCGCTGATCCAATCACGTTTAAACTTCATGACTTACTAGTGCCCAATTGAGTACATGGACTATTCTTCCCCAGTTTTCTGTTCATGAGCTCCTTCTTTTAGGCGGAGTATGTCCTGGAGATCAGTTGCTAAATGTGGAGGGCACCAGTCTCCTTGGAGTGAGTGTGCAAGAAGCTCACGAGGAGTTAAACAAGGCCATGAACAGAAACTCAGTAAGTTTGTATGTAATATACTTTGCATAAATAGCCATTGGAAAATAATTTTTAGAGGGGCAAATGCATTTAAATTTAACGGACTTTTATACGCGACAAAGGAACTGTCATCTTCCTATTCTCGTTGGATCTCGGTTTGGACTGAGTGATCGATAACTAATTTGACCTTACAATACCAGTGCATTGTCAAGAAGGTAACTTATGAGAGTACGCAGAATAATCAACCAAGGGACATTATCTTGATGCCAAATCAAGTTCTCAGAACTAACACTGAGGAATATCCATGGTAACAAGTTAGGAGAATTGATAATTTATCGAGCTTGAGAGTGAAGGTATGAGATCTAATAATATTGTGTCTTTGCTGTTATTGCTGCACTCAGGAAAATATCGATCTCGTCGTGGCCATTTCTTTGAAAAGAGCGAGCCGGCGGCCAGTTCTGAGAAGTGGCAGTGTAGTGAGGAAACGAGATCCCGTCACTGGGGTGGAGGTGTAAGTAGTTTTGTATGCTAGGATCATTGACGCAGGGGGGTAGTAGAGGGGGTGAACACTGCGAGCTGTTGTTGCTGAGCTCAAGTAGCAGAGTTTTGATCGTAGATAACAAGCGAAGAAATTCCTTGAAATATAAGAAAACACTCCTCACTTAAGGACCCTGGAAACTCTTTTTGGCTCACTTGATTTTTTTACGTAACAAACTGATCCATCTTTTGACTGAATGTTAATAGTTTCCTGTGGAAGTCACGCAGTCGATTGATACACGTTATCACAAGAAAAGTGTCGTCACTTGTCGATTTGATTACGTTTGAGAACTGTAATAATGAAGGTGCTATGAAGTATAATTTTAACTACAGTTTATTCATTTAATATATTTCTGTTCGGTTTTCTTTCAGGTATGACACATGGCTTTAGTTAATTCTCCCGTCGCACAAATAACGCTTTGACAGAGCGTTAGAAAAGGAAATATAAATGAAGACTTAGTTTAGATTCTTGTTGTTACTTATTTTATCACTTTTGAAGAAAGATATAGACTCACGAAGTTCATTAAGTCTTGTCAAAATTATCGTGAAAATTCTCACAATGATTAGAACTGTTCACAAAGAAGTCTTTTCCTGGCTCGAAATAGATAGACCGCTAAACCGATGAGTATTCGTAAAGTTCTGTATCAAACAGAAAATAGGTGTTGTATCTTTTCAATCCATTACACAAAGTAAATTTGTTTCAAATCTAGAGTATTACTTTCAGACTGGAAAACACTGGAGGAAGAGTGTTGCCTGCCAAGACAAAAGGAGATATATGTTGTAGATATATTTAACAAGTATATTTATTTGTTTTTAACATTTGTATATCGAGATTTTATGCACAGTTATATTTATCATTCTTGTCTGAATGTCAATAAAATGGTTGGACTCAACAGAACATATAGAACTGTTTGGTTCCTGGAGTGCTGATATATACATGTTCTGGTTCGTTTAGTGTGGTCACCTGGCCGAGGGAAGTTCTGAAAAGAACTGTTGTTGGTGATTTATGTATCGACAACCCGAGCGGAAGTCATCTTTCAGCACGTGAAAATCTGGGTAATATCCCCTTTCCTCCCCTCCCCTGTACTGAATCTATCCAGACTGTATCTAGATATATAAGTAAAAAAAATTACAAATAATCAATAAATTGATAAATTACTCAGGTTTAAGTTCCAAATCTTGTGTCCACTGCAAACACAGCGATAAGAGTAATAACGACTGAGATGAGAAACAGCCAAATAAAGAATCTGTTGAGGACATTCGCAGCTAGTACCCATTCCTCTCTAAGTTCATCCGTCTTATCTTGTTCTTTGACGTTGTCAGCTAGGATCTTGACCGCGCGGGACTCGGCTACAGGGAGTTCAGACTTCTTTTCTTGCAACGCTGTCAAATAAAGTAAACAATTACAGTTCTATAGATTACATTGGGGACGGTAAGTAACTGGTGATGATAAAAGTCATCTATCACAGGGACGATTTGCCGAAATTTAACTGGACGCAAGGTATACGCCATTAAGAGACTTTCAATCATTCCCCGTCATGCTTAAGTGATTGTACAAACAGTGATTAGCATCTTACGTTTTCTCCACTTGTTCACTGCTCTCCGTGCAACCTTCTCGTTTTCTTCATTCCGAGGGTTCGACTGTGCTTTTTTGTGTGACGTCGTTTCTTGTTCGGCCTTTTCTTGTCCGGTTTTGTAGAAAACAATTCGCGCCAAGTAGCCCAGTATGTATTTCTGAAAAAGAATACCAAGAGTGAACCGTCGAGGAGTACTGGTAGTTATTTTGAATTGCATGCTTGTCCATTACTGGTATATTATCTGTTTTCTTTACTCACCCGTTTCCAGACTGGCAATGCGCATGGCCGGTTGTGGACAAATCGCAGCACGTAACACATTGCAGCAAGTGACAGGGACACCTCTATTATTGTGGAGCAGTAGTATTTACCAATCAGTGGAAGGTTCTCAGAAACTGGCATTTTTTCCTCCACCATTAAGAAAAATACCGCAAGAGAGAGCAGAATTGTTACTCCGACTGCCATCCGCTCGCCAGTATCTGAAATTGAAATTGAATGACATCGTTACAAACCTTTGCTCCCAAAATAACAAAAGAGCGCCTATACGACCGACTAGCAAGTTAGCTTGACTGACTGACTGACGGACGAACGGACGCACTGCTTAACAGACCGCCTGACGAACGGACTAACTGACTGGTTGGCTGATTAGCTTACTGGTCGACTGTCTGACTGTCTGACTGGCATACTGACTGAATGATTGACTGTCTGACTGACTGACTGACTGACTGATTTCTGTCTCTGACTGATTGACTCACTGATTTACTGTCTCACTGACTGGCTTACTGGTTGTATGGCTGAATACTGACTTATCAGAAAGGTGGCGCACACTATTTAGGAGCTGATGCAGGTAGTGGATATGAGGAAACATCCCTAACCTTCAGGCATTAGAAATACTAGAAGAGTCAACACAGCGATCAGTGCGCACGGTGTGATGAAATTCGTGACGTAAAATTGAGACAGCCGCCTGATGTGAAGAACATACGACACTCCAGACACCATCGCTTTGCAACAGAAATGCGACATGAGGCTTTGTTCAGATCGAGCATTGATCAGCTGCCATTCTCCGTTAGCAAGGTATTGCTGAGTGGAGACAGTGTCACTAGCTGCGTTAATGTTTAGCTTGGTAATGTCGTAGTTCCATGATCCGAATGTTAATTTGCACATCTGAAAAAGAGATTTGATTTAACCGTCAATGCTTCTTACTGCTTCTTAGTATTTTAAAATTAGTTTAGTCGAAGAAGCTGTCTTGTCAGTCAGTCAATCAATCAATTGATCAGTCAGTCAGTCAGGCAGCCAGCCAGCCAGTCAGTCAGCCAGCCGGTCAGTCAGTCAGTCAGTCAGTCAGTCGGTCAATCAGTTAGTCAGTCGGTCATTTAGTCAGTCAGTCCGTCCGTCCGTCAGTCAGTTAGTGTGTCTGTCTATCTGTCTGCCTGTCATTCAGTCATTGAGGTTGGCAATCCTTGATTTGTTGACTAGTGTATATGACGTCAAGTCACTAACCTGTTCATCAAACGGAAAGTTCTCCACGCTTATTTGACAGGAGCTCATAGTAGTCATGGGAACAACCCACGAAACATTCCCATCATATGTCACGGTAGCTTTGAAAGGATTTGTGTCCGAATCATCAAAGTCGGCACTAAAGAAGAAAAACTAAATCTAAAGTCTTTATTGGGTTTGACCATGCAAGATTGGTTGGAAAATTCCGGTTTCTCCTGGTGTCAAAAGAAACGAGTGCAAAAAGTTGCTATTGATATATAGATAAGTACCGTATTCACTTAAGTTATTCAGTTGATACCTCAAGCCATATTTTAATTTCCACCGTTAATGCGGTGCATAAAACTTCTACTTCACTTGCGTCAGCTTGAATAGATACAGAACAAGTTAAGTGGGTGTAAAAGAAATTCAAGCGAAGACAGCGGCGTCCTAAGAGTCAGTCTACGTTTCAAGGATCAACAGCAAGTGCGTGATCTCAGTCACAAGATCGGCACACTACCCTACATACATACACATACATAAACTTTATTTTTTCTCGAATTTAAGAGTAGCTATTATACATGCTAATTTTTCCAAGAGAAAAATAACAAAAGAATTTGTCACAAGGAAATTGGAACAAGATCTCGAACCCAAATCAAGCCTGTAGTCATAACCTGTGCGATGCAGATTATTTACAGTGAGTGGGGTCTGGCTACTCTAAACTACTCAGTAGCTGAAACGTTTTATACATGAAAGAAAAAGACAAAAAGAAACACCATCATCAGCCTATGGGTTTGTCATGTGCACCCAATCAAACTCAACTTACTTGTTGTATAAAATGATACGCGGTGTCCATATATCAGTATCATCTATGTTAATCTGTCTTATTTCGTCATATTTTGAAGGAGTCCATCTCAGATGCATATCTCTCCAATGCTAAATAAAAAAAAACAGTGAACTGAAATATTAAATATCCCACAAGACATTGTAAATGATTAGTAATGTCTGGTAAATTATATTATGATATAAAAACACTTTCCAATCAAAGCAAATTAAGCCAATGGTTACACACATGAGATAAATTGATCATGTATTTACTGCGATCAGCAAAAAGCCAAAAAAGAAAATCAATCGCATTTATCGTTAATTAATTTGTCCTCTTATAATAACATCCATATTATAATACATATTATAATAACATATTAAACGAAAGAGAAAACGTTCATATGGCTTCGAATAAACAGCGTCTACACACGTTAAAAAACTTACCATTTTAATTCTTACATCTAAATCGATCTTCAGATGTTTTTCATCCTAAGGAACAGAGATAAAATAAAAATAATATTGATTAGCAAAAGGAAAAATATTACGACATCACATCAAACCACCAGTCAGTCAGTCAGTTGGACAGTCAGTCAGTTAGTCGGACAGTCAGTCAGCTGGTCAACCAGTTAACCAATCAGCCAACCAGCCAGTAAGTCAGTCATGTGCTATTGGCCATTCTAAGGGATCAAACGTGTGGAGACTGGTGCGAAATTACTCCTGAGAGTGAGACTTCGAGCGCTTTACTTACTACTTTAACAATCCGGTGAAGAATCAAACTGTGCTTCACTTCTATGGTGTCATTATCATCTAAAACCGGTCTAAACTTGTTGCTGTAACGTGTAGTATTCAGAAGATATCTTGTTAGGTCTCCCTCTTGACAGTAGCAACATAGCACTCCTGTAAAGCACACAAAAGGGACATAACAACAATAATCTTTAAATTCTTTCTTTCTTTATATTCTTTTTATTTGGCCCGCGGATAGCAAGTGTTAATTTATCGCCAATTAATCGAAAGTCGCGATGATATGAAGGAAGTACACAGTGATAACGTGTGGCTCCCCGGTACAAACTCAACTCATTAGCTGGCTCATACTGCCCTCTCACTGTTTATGGTTCTCATTCCTCGTAACAGGCAGAAAACTTGGGCCCCGAGCGGGTTTTTGTTGCATTCAGTTCGGTTTACTGTGTATCGATTGGTCTGTTTGGCTTTCAAGCGATTTTTTGCTCACTCATTCAATTGAAAGTTTCAAGCTTAAGTGAAGTTTTCAAAATGGTTATCATGTATTCATCTGGGATGATCAAGCAGCAATTATTTGGCTAGTCATCATGGCTGCTATGTGACGTCACAACAGATGCATAGCTAAATATGAATAAGACGCGAAATGAAAATGCCATCCCTTCATATTTAAAAAGAATAGTCACATGCGCTGTTACTACTCTCTATATGAACATACCTTTCTACTGTTTGACAACAGGTTTACACCATGTTAATTCGTTGTCATTATTGCATATGGAAATTAATCAACCTTCCTTGCTAACGGTTTAGTGAAATTCTCAATGACGAATTGATTGGTGTTAAGGTAGTCAGCCTTAGAAAGGAAAAGATGTTTGGTAGTAGACATTTTTCGCTTGCTGCTTCAGGGTGCGTGAAATAAACCACTATCTTGGCTTTGTAATAAAGAATGAATATTGATGGACAAAGTTTAACAGTAAAAACACGCTTACCTTGGAAGACGATTACAAGCCAAGCCGGATACATCTTGGTGAAAATGTACATTTTTGCTTCAAGAATTCCGCCAAAAACACAAGCATTGAATGAAACATATTTTACTACAGTCGTGTTACGGAAATTGCTCAACGCCGCATGTTAATGAACAGAATGGCTCGAGAGAGCTGTTCAGTGCAGGTGGCAAGCCACTATTATGGTTCACAAATAAATAGCAACGACCAAACGAGTGAAAACACGATTTATTATTGATTAGAACTTGTTATTTAAATATTCAACGTACTGTGCCATCGCTTGTAACATTTATTTAATTAAAACTTAATATAAATGCCTTCATCTTTGAATAATCATTGTCTAAACCCAAATTAAAAACATTAAGCTATTCGTTTCTGTATATTGTGTAATTCATGTTCATATGTCTACCCTAGGAATTGATAGCCGACTTCATTTCCCAATGTGATAGTGTTCAAATATATAACCGTTCTCCCAAATAAACACTGTTATTGTTGGGCCAGGTTCCATGTGTTTTGAGCTTCTCTAAACCGTCAGTGTCCAAGTTGGGTTGGCGAGAATCCGCTTTCCCGTTAACGTTGCCGTGGTAACAATTTAATCTGTTGTTGTTTTTCGTCGGTGTTTGACATGTGTGAAACTTGGCACGTACTTTTCTCAAACTAACGTTTGTCCATGAAATTCAAGGTCAACTTCTTCATCCAACGATGTAATTAATATAACTCAATGAAACATCCCAGATATCAGCTTTTTAATTTCTCGCCGATTCTCCGTATGATACTTTATTGCAAATATTGTAAACTTTTTCCTTCCATTACGAAGTAAAGCAAATAAGTTTTTTCTTCTATCTACTCAGCTTGTTCAGTTTTCTTACTATTCTGAGTAATTTGTTTGCTTAATCAAATTAGTTGTCTTTGTGCTGTTTTTTTATTATTTTCTTAGAAATCTGGCAAAATAAAATGGTTGGTTGTTGTTGTTTATTAGAAGCGAAAGCAAATTATGAAACGTGTTAATTCAATAATGGCATCATCCATTGAAAATCAAAGGATCTAGCAACGGACAAATTTATTTTTTTCGGAATTAAAATCTGCCCAATAAAAACTCTTATAGAGAAAACATAGAAACTGATATACCTTAGCTGTTTTCATCGGAATACAAAATGTTCGTGATATTCGTAGTTCCAAATCATACACTGTTAATGTATACAGCTTTGACCTTAATTATAGATTAATTCGACATTTGTAATAATTTCTCACTCAATCTTCTCCAATCTTTAACATCCTTATTTGTTTTTTGTTGTTGTTGTTGTTGTTGTTGTTGTTGATGGGCTAACTCATCTCCTGTGTCATGTTATCAAACAATTAACCGAGGGCTATCACGTTCATAGCTCAAGAGGTTTCTAAGTATTCCTACCGTCCGAAAAAAAAGCTCCACATTAAGCTTAACCAAGCTCCAATTGAAAAGGATTAAAAATATAATGGACTGCCTTTATTTTGAATTATTGCACCTGCGAACCTTCAGTATACACAATAACTTAGTTCTGGTCTAACCAATTCAATTGATATTTGTCAGTGTGTATTTTATCTGTTTCTAGAAATGAGGTATGCCAGTCGAATGTTAATATAACGTCAAGTTTTCGGCAAAGGAAAGTAAAAAAACCCCATGCAATGATTTCTTTCGAGGTCATCGTTCAGTAACGGTCTAAAATAAATTTTAGCACAGAAAAATACGATACAATGACAGCTACCCACTAAGCTAATTAATCCAATATCAAATACTAAAGATATCAATCGTCAAGTTGATCGAGTTAAAAAAAAACAGTGTTTGTTTCCAGGAAAGTCTCTTTGATAACGCACTGACAATTATCAAGCCGTTTTGGGCCTCAATATTAGTTTTTCAGTCTCCTCAATTAGATGATAAAAATTGTCCAAATCTGGAAGTAATTTAAAATTAACGTTACATTGTTTTTTGGCAACAGTTGACATGGGAATGGAAAAACATCACATACAGCGAGAACTAAAATTAGTGGCCTCTCGTGTAAACAACACTCTGTTGTGTTTTCTCTTTATCCTTATAACAGTCAGTAGTGCCAAGATTCGCGGTAAATTCTTCTTATAAATTGTTTCGCGCATTCTTTCATATTAGTTTTAAGAAATTTGGTGGTAAGTATTTTAAAATGCTATCCTCTGTAGATGATTTCTTTTCTTATACCACCTTCTAATCGCCAGCGAATTAATAAAGTTCTTGAAAAGTTTGGCGGACTGCTCAGTTCAAGCTTGTCACTCGATTAACCTAACTTTCACTTCCTATTGTTGTACAAGCGCTCTATCTTTATAATCACAATGCATCAACATTCTTAGAGCACTCTTTACATGTTGCGCCACATGCTAGTAAGGGTTTCCACCTCATGTCTCTCAGCATTTGTAAACAGCGACCAAACGGAATCGTTGCGTTGGCAACAGGAGCTAAGCAACCTTAAGTGTTTGCCCAAAATTGCGACAAAGACAAAATATACACTTGAAGGTTCAAAAAGACCGCAAGAGACACAGACAACATTTACACATCTACAATATTTTAAATGAGGGGACTTCATTTGGTTAACGCTTACTAAAAGAACTTCTTAAATGATCGGATTTGTACAGCTATCCCAGTCCTACCCCCTTCCAAAAAAAACAAAACGCATGAAGAATTGATCCATAAGACATTGATTATAGATAGCGAAATATCCTGAGAACGGAATCAGAAATATCCAGGGGCAGCGGCAGTTATTACTTCACATCGCTACACACTTCAAGTTTTACAAGCAAGCCGGGAGCAGCGGAAATAATACTTGTGGCGAAAGACCTATACTGGCAAATAAAAACTGTCGTCTAATATCATATGCTAATTCCACATCACAAAAGCGAATCTAATTATCTTTGTTCTTCTCTTATAAAAGGAAGTAACTCTCATCCTTTTATTTCACCCTATCTGTCATGGCTTTGGCTCAGCGATTCCGCAGCAGTTTGTTTCTGTGTATTGGTAAGTTTAACTAGTAGCACTGACACAAAAGTCGAGAGCGATGGTATAAAGTTTCGATCAAATTTGTAACAGTAGAGGTATCACATCAAATACGATTAGGATATTTTGTTCCTTTCAGTTAACGAATTGAACGGCGACCTAGCATTAAGTATATTTACCTCGCTTTTGAAAAAATAACTAACAGCAGAATTGAAGCATATCGTAAGAGTTAACATTCATCTTTGCTCTGTGTAAAGAACTCATTCTAAGCGCTTGACGAATAAATATAAACGCAGTGTTCTCACAATAGGTTTATCGGCAACTTTATTTTGAGGCTTCCAGTGAACAAAAGAAAAGAATTGTGGCGAATGAACTCGGTATTAGGGTAACAAACGTCGATGAAATGGGACACAGAAGCTGCTGGACACAGAGAGACTAGAGGAGGACAGAAGTCCACGTGGATCAGCCAGTCTGAGTTAGCAACTGTTGCATTGTAACGTAACTAGTATTTTCAGATGGTAAACGTCTTTCTACAAATGATCGGTGGAGAAAGCTTGAACTAAGAATGTTTCCTATTAACAGGTCCGTGAATTTTGTTGATCAAAAGCTAAACCAGGCAGATATATTAACGGTACAACTTAAAATACGCAGAAAAAAAACATCCACTTTTAATCCTGACACTGTTTTTCGACTAAACTACCGGAATCATCTCACAGGTCTCTGTTTTGGAGAGTTCATATATTGTCAAATTACTAGAGGCCACCTTAGCAAATTTTCTGTTACTTTTCGCTCAGCGGTGTAGGTTCTGGAAGCGTTAAGAACAGCTGTGAATTTTAAAAAGAAATCACAAAAGCTGTATCAATAATGACACTGATGCTATCCCATGATCAATATTCCATGGAAATATTTCAGTCGTCCAGTCTGCTTTTTGAATTTTATAAATTCTTGTTGCTAATATCTAAGGTAAGAAAAGTTCAACCTTTGTTATCGCAACAGCGTTGGAACTTCCTTAGATGTTTTGTCATCAATCATTCTGAAGACCGCTATCAGCAGAGAAATCTTTGGGGAAAGTGAAGAGTGTAGAACAAGCAAAGAAAAGTTGAAATACTGAAATTGTCGTAATTTTATGACTTACTTTTGAGTAACTTATATTGGCCAGCTGCTTAAAATTTTGATGTCGATTTTGTTTTGTGGATCACGAGAAAATAAAACAAAAATAGACAGGAAATGGTCGAGGAAATGGGAAACACAGAATAACAAAACAAACTCGATCACGGATGTTTATAATATACTACATTCTCGTTAATTAGATCTAAAACTGTTAATTTTTTTTAAAAGATCGATATTCTTTTGCTCTTAAACATTGCCGCAAGCAGAAGCTGAAGGGAATGAAGAAAAAAAACCCACTCTCATCCTCCTCTGAGTAAACATGAAACAAATTTGTGTCACTCAGCACTGAATAATTTACCGTTAAAAGATATTTACACTAGCCTTAGAATGGAATGTAGATTGGCCCTTGTTTGTCAATGTATAGTGCTTATAAATTAAACTGTTGTTGACCTAAGGAATCCATAATCATGCTACTACAACCATAACTTGAGTAAATCTCTTTTCTTTCAACAGCTTTATTTCTGATGGTATGTTTGGCGGACGAGGTTATCAAAGACGATGAAGTGAAAACAATCCGAGGAAGTGATGTCTCGACTAGGATGCTGTCTCGGTCTGGCAAAATCATGATGGTTCGTGATGATGATGATGACGATGATGACGACAATGATGATGACGACGATGATAATGGCGACACAGACGATAATGATGATAATGATGACGACGAAGATGACGATGAAGACTTTAGTGACAGCAATGAGGAGTTGCTATCATTTGAAGTGGAAAAAATAGAAGAGAAAGACGCAGATGGTATGGACGTTGGTAAATTGGAGAAACATTTTGTGGATTCTCTCGACGATGTGAAGTTTACGTTCTCTCAAGTGGACAGCCAGTCAAGCTTACAAGGACTGCCTGCTATTAATGTCAACATGTCAGCTTTCCTTGTCGAGCAAATGGCTACTCTTGACCTGATAGTCTACCTGTTTCGTCGTGGTGGTAGTATCACCTTTGGTAGCGAGACTTTTGCAGTGCAGAGTGGAACAGTGAAGTTCAACATTAAGGTAAGTGTTCTCACTTCAAGATCTTAGCATGGGTTACATGTGATACGTCCTATGATACTATGATTTTTATTTTCTGATTACGTTCATTGTTAACAGTGTTAAGGGCTCAGGATGTATAAACATTGCTCAAAATGCTTCTTCCTACCTACATTCTTACTCTGTAATATCTTTGTCTACTGAAGTTGTTCATGAAAGCAAAAGCAATTAGTCACTTCGAAGTAGACCACCACTACATCTATGACTTTCTAATGACAGATTAGTGACTGGGATTTCTGTGACGGGACGCCTGCAGACTGCAGCGAGGGCAAAACTGGAGAATTTCTTGATCTTAAACTAAAAATAAAGAGCAAAGGATCACCAGAAGAGGTAGACGATGAGGACCGTAAAAAGGCAGCTAAACCAGCAATCTGTAAAGACAACGACAATGATGATGCCGACGATCAAAAGGATAGCAGTGATAATGATGACGACTGCCCAGCAATATATGACATTGGTGGAGACTCCGAAATGGTTCTTAACAAATGGGTAGGATAAATGCATGTGCAAAAGGCTCTTTCTACTGTATTGCAGTGATGATAATCTGGATTCGTGTCCACACAGTCCGAGACCTCTTAAACTTCGCTGAAATATGTTCGAGTTATCTCAAATTGACTTTTGTGTTGGTAACGCCCAGCTTTGTTGACAAAAAGTTTAAAAATTATGTTTTAGCGCCAATTTTATTTCCTCTCTTCTCTCTTTTTTTTCCAGGTCGTTACCGATGACGATAAATACACTGCCATGCCGCTGGGATTCCCAAAATTTGAGTTCGAGGATGGCGAGAAAAAGTTTGTTTTCCGCATTCCTAAATTCAACCAGAACGTCATGGTTGATCCAAGCGTGAATGTTGGTAGAAGTAAAAGTGCTGCCTCTTGGTCGCAGCTTAATACTGGCTTGGCTCTGTTGCTGGGTTTAACTGCCAGTTTGCACTTCATATTTATTTCATAACTCGAAGAATTTGAATTCCTTTTAGTCCGTAACATATTCATAGAATTTTTTATCGCCGTGTTAAATGTGCTTCTTTGATTGGTTGATAATATTTTCCCGCTTCTAAAAACAGTATATTCACGAAAAGCATTGGAAGCATTCCAACATAAGGTGAACGCTTCTCTTGTTATACACTTGGGCTTCTCATAAGGGCATATCTTATTAGGAATTTCGTCTTGCGTTACACGGAAGAAACGCAATTATAATATAGAGTATGACATATAAAAAAAAACATGTCAACGGGGATCAGGTAGAAATTTTAGTAGAAACGAATTTTAAGTCCCCTCAACGATGCACTTAGCGATAAAGACTCTAAGTTGATGAGAACTATATAACCTAGGCATCACATATATTTATGGCTCATAGTGCTATATCGGAATTATGATTTTAGAAAATGCCATGGTTAGACTTAATAAATATCCAATAAATGACATTATGAATGTAACTATTATCACTATTATTATTGTTATATCCATGCATATTACATTATTCAAGTATTCAATTCGGTATATCTGCTGTAAAGTTGTTAACAGGTCTTTTATTAAACTCAATTGTTGTTGTTGTTGTTGTTGTTGATGGGCTAACTCATCTCCTGTGTCATGTTATCAAACAATTAACCGAGGGCTATCACGTTCATAGCTCAAGAGGTTTCTAAGTATTCCTACCGTCCGAAAAAAAAGCTCCACATTAAGCTTAACCAAGCTCCAATTGAAAAGGATTAAAAATATAATGGACTGCCTTTATTTTGAATTATTGCACCTGCGAACCTTCAGTATACACAATAACTTAGTTCTGGTCTAACCAATTCAATTGATATTTGTCAGTGTGTATTTTATCTGTTTCTAGAAATGAGGTATGCCAGTCGAATGTTAATATAACGTCAAGTTTTCGGCAAAGGAAAGTAAAAAAACCCCATGCAATGATTTCTTTCGAGGTCATCGTTCAGTAACGGTCTAAAATAAATTTTAGCACAGAAAAATACGATACAATGACAGCTACCCACTAAGCTAATTAATCCAATATCAAATACTAAAGATATCAATCGTCAAGTTGATCGAGTTAAAAAAAAACAGTGTTTGTTTCCAGGAAAGTCTCTTTGATAACGCACTGACAATTATCAAGCCGTTTTGGGCCTCAATATTAGTTTTTCAGTCTCCTCAATTAGATGATAAAAATTGTCCAAATCTGGAAGTAATTTAAAATTAACGTTACATTGTTTTTTGGCAACAGTTGACATGGGAATGGAAAAACATCACATACAGCGAGAACTAAAATTAGTGGCCTCTCGTGTAAACAACACTCTGTTGTGTTTTCTCTTTATCCTTATAACAGTCAGTAGTGCCAAGATTCGCGGTAAATTCTTCTTATAAATTGTTTCGCGCATTCTTTCATATTAGTTTTAAGAAATTTGGTGGTAAGTATTTTAAAATGCTATCCTCTGTAGATGATTTCTTTTCTTATACCACCTTCTAATCGCCAGCGAATTAATAAAGTTCTTGAAAAGTTTGGCGGACTGCTCAGTTCAAGCTTGTCACTCGATTAACCTAACTTTCACTTCCTATTGTTGTACAAGCGCTCTATCTTTATAATCACAATGCATCAACATTCTTAGAGCACTCTTTACATGTTGCGCCACATGCTAGTAAGGGTTTCCACCTCATGTCTCTCAGCATTTGTAAACAGCGACCAAACGGAATCGTTGCGTTGGCAACAGGAGCTAAGCAACCTTAAGTGTTTGCCCAAAATTGCGACAAAGACAAAATATACACTTGAAGGTTCAAAAAGACCGCAAGAGACACAGACAACATTTACACATCTACAATATTTTAAATGAGGGGACTTCATTTGGTTAACGCTTACTAAAAGAACTTCTTAAATGATCGGATTTGTACAGCTATCCCAGTCCTACCCCCTTCCAAAAAAAACAAAACGCATGAAGAATTGATCCATAAGACATTGATTATAGATAGCGAAATATCCTGAGAACGGAATCAGAAATATCCAGGGGCAGCGGCAGTTATTACTTCACATCGCTACACACTTCAAGTTTTACAAGCAAGCCGGGAGCAGCGGAAATAATACTTGTGGCGAAAGACCTATACTGGCAAATAAAAACTGTCGTCTAATATCATATGCTAATTCCACATCACAAAAGCGAATCTAATTATCTTTGTTCTTCTCTTATAAAAGGAAGTAACTCTCATCCTTTTATTTCACCCTATCTGTCATGGCTTTGGCTCAGCGATTCCGCAGCAGTTTGTTTCTGTGTATTGGTAAGTTTAACTAGTAGCACTGACACAAAAGTCGAGAGCGATGGTATAAAGTTTCGATCAAATTTGTAACAGTAGAGGTATCACATCAAATACGATTAGGATATTTTGTTCCTTTCAGTTAACGAATTGAACGGCGACCTAGCATTAAGTATATTTACCTCGCTTTTGAAAAAATAACTAACAGCAGAATTGAAGCATATCGTAAGAGTTAACATTCATCTTTGCTCTGTGTAAAGAACTCATTCTAAGCGCTTGACGAATAAATATAAACGCAGTGTTCTCACAATAGGTTTATCGGCAACTTTATTTTGAGGCTTCCAGTGAACAAAAGAAAAGAATTGTGGCGAATGAACTCGGTATTAGGGTAACAAACGTCGATGAAATGGGACACAGAAGCTGCTGGACACAGAGAGACTAGAGGAGGACAGAAGTCCACGTGGATCAGCCAGTCTGAGTTAGCAACTGTTGCATTGTAACGTAACTAGTATTTTCAGATGGTAAACGTCTTTCTACAAATGATCGGTGGAGAAAGCTTGAACTAAGAATGTTTCCTATTAACAGGTCCGTGAATTTTGTTGATCAAAAGCTAAACCAGGCAGATATATTAACGGTACAACTTAAAATACGCAGAAAAAAAACATCCACTTTTAATCCTGACACTGTTTTTCGACTAAACTACCGGAATCATCTCACAGGTCTCTGTTTTGGAGAGTTCATATATTGTCAAATTACTAGAGGCCACCTTAGCAAATTTTCTGTTACTTTTCGCTCAGCGGTGTAGGTTCTGGAAGCGTTAAGAACAGCTGTGAATTTTAAAAAGAAATCACAAAAGCTGTATCAATAATGACACTGATGCTATCCCATGATCAATATTCCATGGAAATATTTCAGTCGTCCAGTCTGCTTTTTGAATTTTATAAATTCTTGTTGCTAATATCTAAGGTAAGAAAAGTTCAACCTTTGTTATCGCAACAGCGTTGGAACTTCCTTAGATGTTTTGTCATCAATCATTCTGAAGACCGCTATCAGCAGAGAAATCTTTGGGGAAAGTGAAGAGTGTAGAACAAGCAAAGAAAAGTTGAAATACTGAAATTGTCGTAATTTTATGACTTACTTTTGAGTAACTTATATTGGCCAGCTGCTTAAAATTTTGATGTCGATTTTGTTTTGTGGATCACGAGAAAATAAAACAAAAATAGACAGGAAATGGTCGAGGAAATGGGAAACACAGAATAACAAAACAAACTCGATCACGGATGTTTATAATATACTACATTCTCGTTAATTAGATCTAAAACTGTTAATTTTTTTTAAAAGATCGATATTCTTTTGCTCTTAAACATTGCCGCAAGCAGAAGCTGAAGGGAATGAAGAAAAAAAACCCACTCTCATCCTCCTCTGAGTAAACATGAAACAAATTTGTGTCACTCAGCACTGAATAATTTACCGTTAAAAGATATTTACACTAGCCTTAGAATGGAATGTAGATTGGCCCTTGTTTGTCAATGTATAGTGCTTATAAATTAAACTGTTGTTGACCTAAGGAATCCATAATCATGCTACTACAACCATAACTTGAGTAAATCTCTTTTCTTTCAACAGCTTTATTTCTGATGGTATGTTTGGCGGACGAGGTTATCAAAGACGATGAAGTGAAAACAATCCGAGGAAGTGATGTCTCGACTAGGATGCTGTCTCGGTCTGGCAAAATCATGATGGTTCGTGATGATGATGATGATGACGATGATGACGACAATGATGATGACGACGATGATAATGGCGACACAGACGATAATGATGATAATGATGACGACGAAGATGACGATGAAGACTTTAGTGACAGCAATGAGGAGTTGCTATCATTTGAAGTGGAAAAAATAGAAGAGAAAGACGCAGATGGTATGGACGTTGGTAAATTGGAGAAACATTTTGTGGATTCTCTCGACGATGTGAAGTTTACGTTCTCTCAAGTGGACAGCCAGTCAAGCTTACAAGGACTGCCTGCTATTAATGTCAACATGTCAGCTTTCCTTGTCGAGCAAATGGCTACTCTTGACCTGATAGTCTACCTGTTTCGTCGTGGTGGTAGTATCACCTTTGGTAGCGAGACTTTTGCAGTGCAGAGTGGAACAGTGAAGTTCAACATTAAGGTAAGTGTTCTCACTTCAAGATCTTAGCATGGGTTACATGTGATACGTCCTATGATACTATGATTTTTATTTTCTGATTACGTTCATTGTTAACAGTGTTAAGGGCTCAGGATGTATAAACATTGCTCAAAATGCTTCTTCCTACCTACATTCTTACTCTGTAATATCTTTGTCTACTGAAGTTGTTCATGAAAGCAAAAGCAATTAGTCACTTCGAAGTAGACCACCACTACATCTATGACTTTCTAATGACAGATTAGTGACTGGGATTTCTGTGACGGGACGCCTGCAGACTGCAGCGAGGGCAAAACTGGAGAATTTCTTGATCTTAAACTAAAAATAAAGAGCAAAGGATCACCAGAAGAGGTAGACGATGAGGACCGTAAAAAGGCAGCTAAACCAGCAATCTGTAAAGACAACGACAATGATGATGCCGACGATCAAAAGGATAGCAGTGATAATGATGACGACTGCCCAGCAATATATGACATTGGTGGAGACTCCGAAATGGTTCTTAACAAATGGGTAGGATAAATGCATGTGCAAAAGGCTCTTTCTACTGTATTGCAGTGATGATAATCTGGATTCGTGTCCACACAGTCCGAGACCTCTTAAACTTCGCTGAAATATGTTCGAGTTATCTCAAATTGACTTTTGTGTTGGTAACGCCCAGCTTTGTTGACAAAAAGTTTAAAAATTATGTTTTAGCGCCAATTTTATTTCCTCTCTTCTCTCTTTTTTTTCCAGGTCGTTACCGATGACGATAAATACACTGCCATGCCGCTGGGATTCCCAAAATTTGAGTTCGAGGATGGCGAGAAAAAGTTTGTTTTCCGCATTCCTAAATTCAACCAGAACGTCATGGTTGATCCAAGCGTGAATGTTGGTAGAAGTAAAAGTGCTGCCTCTTGGTCGCAGCTTAATACTGGCTTGGCTCTGTTGCTGGGTTTAACTGCCAGTTTGCACTTCATATTTATTTCATAACTCGAAGAATTTGAATTCCTTTTAGTCCGTAACATATTCATAGAATTTTTTATCGCCGTGTTAAATGTGCTTCTTTGATTGGTTGATAATATTTTCCCGCTTCTAAAAACAGTATATTCACGAAAAGCATTGGAAGCATTCCAACATAAGGTGAACGCTTCTCTTGTTATACACTTGGGCTTCTCATAAGGGCATATCTTATTAGGAATTTCGTCTTGCGTTACACGGAAGAAACGCAATTATAATATAGAGTATGACATATAAAAAAAAACATGTCAACGGGGATCAGGTAGAAATTTTAGTAGAAACGAATTTTAAGTCCCCTCAACGATGCACTTAGCGATAAAGACTCTAAGTTGATGAGAACTATATAACCTAGGCATCACATATATTTATGGCTCATAGTGCTATATCGGAATTATGATTTTAGAAAATGCCATGGTTAGACTTAATAAATATCCAATAAATGACATTATGAATGTAACTATTATCACTATTATTATTGTTATATCCATGCATATTACATTATTCAAGTATTCAATTCGGTATATCTGCTGTAAAGTTGTTAACAGGTCTTTTATTAAACTCAGACGGTATAGCCTGTTGCATACAAAACAGAGTTGAGGCTCATGTTACTTTATATTAAGTACTGAGCGGCGTATCGATGTAAAACAAATCATATGATAAATATAATTTCATGACATTTCTAACTTAGCTGTGCTGTTTTTTGCTTATGAGAAAATCTCCAAATATCAGAGATGTTAGGGCTTTATATTTGCCTCGTTAGCTTGAAAACATGAGTTCCTTCTCGAAACAAACCTAAATTTGCTCGTCTTAATAAATTTTTCTTTTTTATCGACAAAACATTTTTTGCCAAGCCCTGTTCATTGGCAAAGTGTTCAACTGAGTCAGTTGCTATTAAGGAAGTTTGGCCGAGGCTTACTTGAAAGCGTTTAATTTCTTCTCTGTTTTACAACGGAGCCTGAAAAAATATGGCCATGAACGATACGACAACAGCAAAGAGAAACACCCAAATACAGATATGGTTCAACACCAGGGCTGCCTTCCTCCACTCGTCCCGCCTCGCTTCCAGGATCATTTGCTGTCGGACGTTATCAGCCAGGATCCTATTGGCGCTTTTCTTGTCCCCTGGCACGTGACCACCGTTCTTGCTGCTTTTTGATTGGTTAATTCCGTTTGTTTCCTTGGCAACCAGGATTTCCTTATCATTCACTGGAAAGTAAATTACATTGGTAATAAATTAGGTTGGCACAATGCTACAGCAGATCGTTTTTTAAACAAATATTGCAAAAGCAAACGATATGGAATGCTGTCAGTCACGGAAAAATGTATGCGTAAGGCAATTATGATAAGTTTTTATTTGCGAAGAACAAAATTCTGTTATTTCATACGTTGAATCACATTGTAAGGGTTTGTGTGGCACATAAGGAGCTTAGGAAGTGCAAAAAATACGGTTGTACATATTACATGCAATCAACTTTCCTTATTTAAAGCAACAGATATTAAGTAAAATCGATAAAAGCGTGGTAGATTAAAACACGACTCGTTTTTTTGCGTTCACTGGTGCATATTACGAGTAGAATTTACTTCAGTGTTGGTAAGCTGCCGAGGATGTGCACACTTCTTTGGCTCAGAAGAGTTAAGCATTTTCTTAACATGGTTATTTGGATAAAAGGTAATTACGTTTTTGACCGGTGATACTTTCTGCTGAAGAAACGTCACTTTCCTGTGAAGCATCGCTTTGAGAACTATTGTTCCCGAAATTAAATCGACACAGTTTTGCTCCATAACCAAGAAGATAGACCTGTGGATTACAGAGTAAGAATGAATAAAATATGTAAACCAATGAGCATCAGGCAATTTCTGGCGATGCTAGTAATCTAAATCTCAAGAAAAAGCTAGGTCCTTTGAACAAGATTATCCCACGAACGCACCTTGACCCACTTGGGAACCTCTCCCTCAGTTGGGTTCTGATGATGAAAACGTAAAACCCAGCACGTCATAAAGAATGCACAAGACACTTCAATCATTGTCACAGTGTAATACATTCCCACCAGCGGTACTGCTTCGGATGTGGCTGGCATGTTTTCAGCCACAAGTAGAAAGAAGAAGCTCAGGCCAACAAGAATCGCCATTCCTAAGATTAATAAACAGATCATTATCAAACTGATTGCAATTCTGATGTAGGACAATCATTTGCAATACACCATCACTTCGTAATAATGGTGGCATTGCAATAAAATCGCATGTCTATGGTGCATTTACGTTAACATTTTCTTGGCGAAATAATCTTTCATGTGTAGAGATTGTAATGAACTCGAGTATTTATCAGTTCTTTCAAACTCCCTCGTGTGTTTGCATAACGTTATATTAACACAATGTGATCAAAGTTTCTTTTTATTGCTGTCAAACGTAGCCATACACAATAAAACTTCAATAAAGCTACTGAGCAGCCACTCAAAGTGTACGTTACATATTTACCATTTCATTACACACTACACAGCACAGCCTTACCAACTGTCATTCTCTCGTTGCAGTCTGGAGGTAACAGGAAAACCAACAATGTTAAGACAGAAATCATGGCACAGGGTATTATCAAATACATGGCGTAATACAACGCCCGCCGCTTAATCTGCACTCTGTAGGTGACGTCATGATAGGGGTCAGGACAGCACGTGTAAATAATGGAATTAAATTCTCCGGGGACCCCCAATAGTTCCCACTCCACACTGGGAGAGTACTCGGTCAGGTCTGCTGACGGACTCTGACAAAATAAGAAATGATATATGGCACTTTAAGCCGGTTATGATATCAAACAGTTTGTGAAACAACAGGCGATATTCCTGGCTAGATGGCTTTGATCCTGCATATACTAAACGCTGATTCAGAGATTAATTAAATCGATCAATCAATCGATCTTTGTTTATAGAGGGTAAAACACGTAATAGTTATACAACTAATAAACTTGTGTTCCTCCAAAATATACAGTAATCAAAAATCTATTACAAAACCTATGTAAAAATCAACCTATTTTGCAAGAGTGTTTTCGTCCTCTCTAATCTAAGAGGAAAAGGGAAACTCTCTCTCAAGTTACATCTATTAAATAAACATAATAGCATTTACTTGGGTAATTTACCTCCAAGGTCAGGGCTATTCCAGCTGCATCGTAAGTCCAGGAGCCGAATTTAAGCTCACAGTTCTGTTGGTCAAACGGATAATTATCCACCCGTATCTTACAGCTGCTTTCAATGATTGTGGGCACGTTCAGGCTGATCAGACCATTGTTTTTGATAACAGCTTTTGTTCGTGTCATGCCGTTGCCAAAGCCTTCTCCAGCACTGAAAAATGATTGGATGGATAAAGACAGACATGAACAGGATTAAAATGGATTTCGGAGTGATTCACTTCACGGATAATTTTCGACTGCACAAAATTCATCAGTGAAGTGGGAGGCGCGCAATGCATTAAGGGTGAAACTGGGCCTTTAAGATCACTTCATGAACAGCGAAATTATAGAATGTTCGTTCATTTTAGGAGTTACGTTGTACAGATAGACACCAATCTTGACAGTACAACACTAGGTTGAAAAGACTATCAACAGGCGAAGTCAATTGAAACTACCGAATGTTAAAATTCACTCACTTGTTATAAAGCACAATGTCAGGGATCCAAATCGTTTTTGGATCAACACTGATGTACTTCACTCCACCATACTCTGAAGAATTCCACCTCAAGAATGGGTCCACCCAATACTAAATAAAGATCGAATTTAGTTCATAATCAATTTATAATTAACTTCTTGTGCAGTCAATGAGCAAGAAGGTTTGGTCAAGAGCAAGGCACTTCACTAAATGATATTGCCTCAAACGACTCAATTGGGTAAGAAAAAACGGTAATGATAAATGGTATCGTCTTTAACAACTGAGAAATTGGTGGTCTATACTGAACAATGTCCGTTCTACAATTTCCATAAGCCGGTCTAAGGAGTCAATATTGTATCGTAGGATCTCTTTCATTTTGGACTCTTAAAGTGAGGTTTCATTTAATCAAAGACCAGTTTATATCTGACAGAACTGAAAGTGAACTTGAATCTGAAGATATTGTTCACGTGATGGTCGTTCTAGATCTCAGTACCTCTCTTATTTCAGCTCTGGTGATAAGCAACTGGTTCTTGTCATCCTGTAAACGTAAATTTAAACAAAAGTTTTAATATGATGCCACCTAGACAAGTTTCTAAAACCTCTCAATTAATATTATGGCTTAGTTTGAAGGCAAACAAGTATTTTAATTTACTTAAGCAATTTTGTTAAAAATGTGTTAGAAAATGATGGCTTTAAATTGTTTTTTGCATGAGAAGACTATCAGTTGGCTTGAAAGTTTTTGTTATAAAGTCACAAGTGGGTCGTTGTTTTAGTTTAGTAAAAATTTTTGTATCTTTTTCTTTGTTATTATTTTTTTTTGTTCGAATTTTTTTGACCAAGTACCTTATTTAGGCCGGATTATATATTGTCAGTAATTAGCGATTTTTGCGTCCGAGTTACGAACACATGCACAGATCAGTGCATGTTCTAAACACAATCACTGGAGCTAGGAATGAGACTACAACACAGACAACCGCTGCTTACCAGATCTTCTATTTCTCTGACAACTAATCCAAACGTAACGATAACCGCGTCCTCGCTCCTAAGGACGGGTCTAACTCGTCTGTTGTACTTGTTAGCGTCGAGCAAGTCTTCTATGAGGGTTCGCTTGTTACGAGTAGCATTTGCTGCTTCAAGACCTGCAAAAAATAACATTCAATTAAATCATGGCGATGGTTTGGCTACATTTTTGGAGGCGGCGATCTAATTTGTGTCTTCAAGCGGCGCTCTGAGGAACAAGGCCATAGATAGGGATGAATGCTCTTAGTAGTTCTTCAGTTGAAGGGGGATCGCCAGATCGTGAGAAAAACGAATATTTATCAAATGAACTAGACCTTTTCTCTACGCTGGTAATTTTTTGGCATTTGTACAACATTGATTTACACAAAAACTGTCTTATATCCCTTGATATTAAATAACAATTCGAATAATGTTTTTCGCCTGATGGAACTTCAGCAACGTGAAAAAACAAAAAACAAAAACTAAACATGGGTATCAGGGTAACTCTTTAGTTTCAGGGCAGGTATTTTCAATAGAACACTGCAGTAGACAAGCACAGCTTACCTTTGACTGTAGAACAAAACAACAACATTAAAACAAGCACTTGTACAAATCGAGCATCCATGGTACTCGATCGTTCGCATTACGACAAAAATAAATATTCAGGTATATTCTCCCAATTCATTCAAATATGCAGCGCGCATTTGGACTCTTGCCAGGCTAACAGGTGGGCCACCTTCAGTGATAATGATTTGGCTCGTGATTGAAAGCAGTATTTACTTGTCTGCCAGTCTGTAAATTGTTCAGTATATAAATTGTCCTTACTGGCCGACATACAGTTAAAATGATGTTTTTCAGAGAAATTTTTGGCACGGATAGTATTCACTTAGTGAATGGTTTCTGTCGTTTATTCATAATCTGATGTCGATTGTAATCTTGGAGTTTAAATGTTAAATTCTCAACAGCTTAAGAGACCCACGTATAGCCCGAGAGCGGGCTCACGTTGGAGCAAAAGTGCGCGCGGCGTAGCCTGCTCGTAGGCTAACCTATGTACCGTACAACTGGCTGACGAGTAAGTTTTACAGACCAGTCCGAAAGATTATCGATTGGTACCGAACTTCACTTGATTCTTGACAGCGAATTAGTCTAAAACAGGTGCCCCCGCAGGTGGCAATGGAACGAAAACGTCTTGTTTTCCTTCTACGGGTGTATCTACTGCGCTATAAACCTGTTTTTCAAGGGCGTATGAAACTCTTCCCTGGTAGCACTTATAAACGTGTGGTTATCGTTCCGCCTGAACGAACCCGTGTTACACACTCGCCGAAGTACCAAAGACAGCGACCAGGAAAGAAATTTTTTAAAATGCGAAATCCTCTAAAGAATTTCTGGGTAATTCCGTGGTACGTATTGTAAAGAGTCGTTTATTTCGTTTGGATATGGCATCTGTGGAGGTCGAAAAACTATCAGAGCATCTTCTCAAGTGCCCAATTTGCCTGGAAACCTACACGACGCCTAAGGTTCTTCCTTGCCTGCACACGTTTTGCCAACATTGTTTACAAGGACTAATCAACAGTGGAGAAAACACCATTATATGTCCTACGTGTCGATGCGAGGTTTCCGTGCCCAAAGATGGCGTCGGTGCACTATCGACCAACTTCTTCATCAACAACATGCTGGACTTTCTTTCGGTTGCGAAGAGTAACTCGAACCCAGTTGTTTGCACAAACTGCGAGGAACAAAACAGGGCGACATCCAGATGTATCGAATGCATGGAGTTCCTGTGTTCGCAGTGCGTGGCAGCACATCGCAGGACTCGAATGACTAAAGAACATGAAGTTATTGCCTTAGGTGACTTGCAAGCGCAAAAAGAAGTCCAGGAGAAGCTTCACAGGCCTCTGTTGTGCGCCGTCCACGAGCGCGATGTGTTGAAGTACTTCTGCGAAACCTGTGATGAGCCTGTTTGCCGCGAGTGCCTGATTATCGATCATCGAGAGCATCATTATGGTTACTTGAAAGATGTGGATAAGAGACATCGCTCCGAGGTAGGATGGTCNTGGTTCTTAACAAATGGGTAGGATAAATGCATGTGCAAAAGGCTCTTTCTACTGTATTGCAGTGATGATAATCTGGATTCGTGTCCACACAGTCCGAGACCTCTTAAACTTCGCTGAAATATGTTCGAGTTATCTCAAATTGACTTTTGTGTTGGTAACGCCCAGCTTTGTTGACAAAAAGTTTAAAAATTATGTTTTAGCGCCAATTTTATTTCCTCTCTTCTCTCTTTTTTTTCCAGGTCGTTACCGATGACGATAAATACACTGCCATGCCGCTGGGATTCCCAAAATTTGAGTTCGAGGATGGCGAGAAAAAGTTTGTTTTCCGCATTCCTAAATTCAACCAGAACGTCATGGTTGATCCAAGCGTGAATGTTGGTAGAAGTAAAAGTGCTGCCTCTTGGTCGCAGCTTAATACTGGCTTGGCTCTGTTGCTGGGTTTAACTGCCAGTTTGCACTTCATATTTATTTCATAACTCGAAGAATTTGAATTCCTTTTAGTCCGTAACATATTCATAGAATTTTTTATCGCCGTGTTAAATGTGCTTCTTTGATTGGTTGATAATATTTTCCCGCTTCTAAAAACAGTATATTCACGAAAAGCATTGGAAGCATTCCAACATAAGGTGAACGCTTCTCTTGTTATACACTTGGGCTTCTCATAAGGGCATATCTTATTAGGAATTTCGTCTTGCGTTACACGGAAGAAACGCAATTATAATATAGAGTATGACATATAAAAAAAAACATGTCAACGGGGATCAGGTAGAAATTTTAGTAGAAACGAATTTTAAGTCCCCTCAACGATGCACTTAGCGATAAAGACTCTAAGTTGATGAGAACTATATAACCTAGGCATCACATATATTTATGGCTCATAGTGCTATATCGGAATTATGATTTTAGAAAATGCCATGGTTAGACTTAATAAATATCCAATAAATGACATTATGAATGTAACTATTATCACTATTATTATTGTTATATCCATGCATATTACATTATTCAAGTATTCAATTCGGTATATCTGCTGTAAAGTTGTTAACAGGTCTTTTATTAAACTCAGACGGTATAGCCTGTTGCATACAAAACAGAGTTGAGGCTCATGTTACTTTATATTAAGTACTGAGCGGCGTATCGATGTAAAACAAATCATATGATAAATATAATTTCATGACATTTCTAACTTAGCTGTGCTGTTTTTTGCTTATGAGAAAATCTCCAAATATCAGAGATGTTAGGGCTTTATATTTGCCTCGTTAGCTTGAAAACATGAGTTCCTTCTCGAAACAAACCTAAATTTGCTCGTCTTAATAAATTTTTCTTTTTTATCGACAAAACATTTTTTGCCAAGCCCTGTTCATTGGCAAAGTGTTCAACTGAGTCAGTTGCTATTAAGGAAGTTTGGCCGAGGCTTACTTGAAAGCGTTTAATTTCTTCTCTGTTTTACAACGGAGCCTGAAAAAATATGGCCATGAACGATACGACAACAGCAAAGAGAAACACCCAAATACAGATATGGTTCAACACCAGGGCTGCCTTCCTCCACTCGTCCCGCCTCGCTTCCAGGATCATTTGCTGTCGGACGTTATCAGCCAGGATCCTATTGGCGCTTTTCTTGTCCCCTGGCACGTGACCACCGTTCTTGCTGCTTTTTGATTGGTTAATTCCGTTTGTTTCCTTGGCAACCAGGATTTCCTTATCATTCACTGGAAAGTAAATTACATTGGTAATAAATTAGGTTGGCACAATGCTACAGCAGATCGTTTTTTAAACAAATATTGCAAAAGCAAACGATATGGAATGCTGTCAGTCACGGAAAAATGTATGCGTAAGGCAATTATGATAAGTTTTTATTTGCGAAGAACAAAATTCTGTTATTTCATACGTTGAATCACATTGTAAGGGTTTGTGTGGCACATAAGGAGCTTAGGAAGTGCAAAAAATACGGTTGTACATATTACATGCAATCAACTTTCCTTATTTAAAGCAACAGATATTAAGTAAAATCGATAAAAGCGTGGTAGATTAAAACACGACTCGTTTTTTTTGCGTTCACTGGTGCATATTACGAGTAGAATTTACTTCAGTGTTGGTAAGCTGCCGAGGATGTGCACACTTCTTTGGCTCAGAAGAGTTAAGCATTTTCTTAACATGGTTATTTGGATAAAAGCTAATTACGTTTTTGACCGGTGATACTTTCTGCTGAAGAAACGTCACTTTCCTGTGAAGCATCGCTTTGAGAACTACTGTTCCCGAAATTAAATCGACACAGTTTTGCTCCATAACCAAGAAGATAGACCTGTGGATTACAGAGTAAGAATGAATAAAATATGTAAACCAATGAGCATCAGGCAATTTCTGGCGATGCTAGTAATCTAAATCTCAAGAAAAAGCTAGGTCCTTTGAACAAGATTATCCCACGAACGCACCTTGACCCACTTGGGAACCTCTCCCTCAGTTGGGTTCTGATGATGAAAACGTAAAACCCAGCACGTCATAAAGAATGCACAAGACACTTCAATCATTGTCACAGTGTAATACATTCCCACCAGCGGTACTGCTTCGGATGTGGCTGGCATGTTTTCAGCCACAAGTAGAAAGAAGAAGCTCAGGCCAACAAGAATCGCCATTCCTAAGATTAATAAACAGATCATTATCAAACTGATTGCAATTCTGATGTAGGACAATCATTTGCAATACACCATCACTTCGTAATAATGGTGGCATTGCAATAAAATCGCATGTCTATGGTGCATTTACGTTAACATTTTCTTGGCGAAATAATCTTTCATGTGTAGAGATTGTAATGAACTCGAGTATTTATCAGTTCTTTCAAACTCCCTCGTGTGTTTGCATAACGTTATATTAACACAATGTGATCAAAGTTTCTTTTTATTGCTGTCAAACGTAGCCATACACAATAAAACTTCAATAAAGCTACTGAGCAGCCACTCAAAGTGTACGTTACATATTTACCATTTCATTACACACTACACAGCACAGCCTTACCAACTGTCATTCTCTCGTTGCAGTCTGGAGGTAACAGGAAAACCAACAATGTTAAGACAGAAATCATGGCACAGGGTATTATCAAATACATGGCGTAATACAACGCCCGCCGCTTAATCTGCACTCTGTAGGTGACGTCATGATAGGGGTCAGGACAGCACGTGTAAATAATGGAATTAAATTCTCCGGGGACCCCCAATAGTTCCCACTCCACACTGGGAGAGTACTCGGTCAGGTCTGCTGACGGACTCTGACAAAATAAGAAATGATATATGGCACTTTAAGCCGGTTATGATATCAAACAGTTTGTGAAACAACAGGCGATATTCCTGGCTAGATGGCTTTGATCCTGCATATACTAAACGCTGATTCAGAGATTAATTAAATCGATCAATCAATCGATCTTTGTTTATAGAGGGTAAAACACGTAATAGTTATACAACTAATAAACTTGTGTTCCTCCAAAATATACAGTAATCAAAAATCTATTACAAAACCTATGTAAAAATCAACCTATTTTGCAAGAGTGTTTTCGTCCTCTCTAATCTAAGAGGAAAAGGGAAACTCTCTCTCAAGTTACATCTATTAAATAAACATAATAGCATTTACTTGGGTAATTTACCTCCAAGGTCAGGGCTATTCCAGCTGCATCGTAAGTCCAGGAGCCGAATTTAAGCTCACAGTTCTGTTGGTCAAACGGATAATTATCAACCCGTATCTTACAGCTGCTTTCAATGATTGTGGGCACGTTCAGGCTGATCAGACCATTGTTTTTGATAACAGCTTTTGTTCGTGTCATGCCGTTGCCAAAGCCTTCTCCAGCACTGAAAAATGATTGGATGGATAAAGACAGACATGAACAGGATTAAAATGGATTTCGGAGTGATTCACTTCACGGATAATTTTCGACTGCACAAAATTCATCAGTGAAGTGGGAGGCGCGCAATGCATTAAGGGTGAAACTGGGCCTTTAAGATCACTTCATGAACAGCGAAATTCGCAGTAAAAGGTGAGCGCTTAAATGTATTTGGAAATATATAGTTTTAGAATGTTCGTTCATTTTAGGAGTTACGTTGTACAGATAGACACCAATCTTGACAGTACAACACTAGGTTGAAAAGACTATCAACAGGCGAAGTCAATTGAAACTACCGAATGTTAAAATTCACTCACTTGTTATAAAGCACAATGTCAGGGATCCAAATCGTTTTTGGATCAACACTGATGTACTTCACTCCACCATACTCTGAAGAATTCCACCTCAAGAATGGGTCCACCCAATACTAAATAAAGATCGAATTTAGTTCATAATCAATTTATAATTAACTTCTTGTGCAGTCAATGAGCAAGAAGGTTTGGTCAAGAGCAAGGCACTTCACTAAATGATATTGCCTCAAACGACTCAATTGGGTAAGAAAAAACGGTAATGATAAATGGTATCGTCTTTAACAACTGAGAAATTGGTGGTCTATACTGAACAATGTCCGTTCTACAATTTCCATAAGCCGGTCTAAGGAGTCAATATTGTATCGTAGGATCTCTTTCATTTTGGACTCTTAAAGTGAGGTTTCATTTAATCAAAGACCAGTTTATATCTGACAGAACTGAAAGTGAACTTGAATCTGAAGATATTGTTCACGTGATGGTCGTTCTAGATCTCAGTACCTCTCTTATTTCAGCTCTGGTGATAAGCAACTGGTTCTTGTCATCCTGTAAACGTAAATTTAAACAAAAGTTTTAATATGATGCCACCTAGACAAGTTTCTAAAACCTCTCAATTAATATTATGGCTTAGTTTGAAGGCAAACAAGTATTTTAATTTACTTAAGCAATTTTGTTAAAAATGTGTTAGAAAATGATGGCTTTAAATTGTTTTTTGCATGAGAAGACTATCAGTTGGCTTGAAAGTTTTTGTTATAAAGTCACAAGTGGGTCGTTGTTTTAGTTTAGTAAAAATTTTTGTATCTTTTTCTTTGTTATTATTTTTTTTTGTTCGAATTTTTTTGACCAAGTACCTTATTTAGGCCGGATTATATATTGTCAGTAATTAGCGATTTTTGCGTCCGAGTTACGAACACATGCACAGATCAGTGCATGTTCTAAACACAATCACTGGAGCTAGGAATGAGACTACAACACAGACAACCGCTGCTTACCAGATCTTCTATTTCTCTGACAACTAATCCAAACGTAACGATAACCGCGTCCTCGCTCCTAAGGACGGGTCTAACTCGTCTGTTGTACTTGTTAGCGTCGAGCAAGTCTTCTATGAGGGTTCGCTTGTTACGAGTAGCATTTGCTGCTTCAAGACCTGCAAAAAATAACATTCAATTAAATCATGGCGATGGTTTGGCTACATTTTTGGAGGCGGCGATCTAATTTGTGTCTTCAAGCGGCGCTCTGAGGAACAAGGCCATAGATAGGGATGAATGCTCTTAGTAGTTCTTCAGTTGAAGGGGGATCGCCAGATCGTGAGAAAAACGAATATTTATCAAATGAACTAGACCTTTTCTCTACGCTGGTAATTTTTTGGCATTTGTACAACATTGATTTACACAAAAACTGTCTTATATCCCTTGATATTAAATAACAATTCGAATAATGTTTTTCGCCTGATGGAACTTCAGCAACGTGAAAAAACAAAAAACAAAAACTAAGCATGGGTATCAGGGTAACTCTTTAGTTTCAGGGCAGGTATTTTCAATAGAACACTGCAGTAGACAAGCACAGCTTACCTTTGACTGTAGAACAAAACAACAACATTAAAACAAGCACTTGTACAAATCGAGCATCCATGGTACTCGATCGTTCGCATTACGACAAAAATAAATATTCAGGTATATTCTCCCAATTCATTCAAATATGCAGCGCGCATTTGGACTCTTGCCAGGCTAACAGGTGGGCCACCTTCAGTGATAATGATTTGGCTCGTGATTGAAAGCAGTATTTACTTGTCTGCCAGTCTGTAAATTGTTCAGTATATAAATTGTCCTTACTGGCCGACATACAGTTAAAATGATGTTTTTCAGAGAAATTTTTGGCACGGATAGTATTCACTTAGTGAATGGTTTCTGTCGTTTATTCATAATCTGATGTCGATTGTAATCTTGGAGTTTAAATGTTAAATTCTCAACAGCTTAAGAGACCCACGTATAGCCCGAGAGCGGGCTCACGTTGGAGCAAAAGTGCGCGCGGCGTAGCCTGCTCGTAGGCTAACCTATGTACCGTACAACTGGCTGACGAGTAAGTTTTACAGACCAGTCCGAAAGATTATCGATTGGTACCGAACTTCACTTGATTCTTGACAGCGAATTAGTCTAAAACAGGTGCCCCCGCAGGTGGCAATGGAACGAAAACGTCTTGTTTTCCTTCTACGGGTGTATCTACTGCGCTATAAACCTGTTTTTCAAGGGCGTATGAAACTCTTCCCTGGTAGCACTTATAAACGTGTGGTTATCGTTCCGCCTGAACGAACCCGTGTTACACACTCGCCGAAGTACCAAAGACAGCGACCAGGAAAGAAATTTTTTAAAATGCGAAATCCTCTAAAGAATTTCTGGGTAATTCCGTGGTACGTATTGTAAAGAGTCGTTTATTTCGTTTGGATATGGCATCTGTGGAGGTCGAAAAACTATCAGAGCATCTTCTCAAGTGCCCAATTTGCCTGGAAACCTACACGACGCCTAAGGTTCTTCCTTGCCTGCACACGTTTTGCCAACATTGTTTACAAGGACTAATCAACAGTGGAGAAAACACCATTATATGTCCTACGTGTCGATGCGAGGTTTCCGTGCCCAAAGATGGCGTCGGTGCACTATCGACCAACTTCTTCATCAACAACATGCTGGACTTTCTTTCGGTTGCGAAGAGTAACTCGAACCCAGTTGTTTGCACAAACTGCGAGGAACAAAACAGGGCGACATCCAGATGTATCGAATGCATGGAGTTCCTGTGTTCGCAGTGCGTGGCAGCACATCGCAGGACTCGAATGACTAAAGAACATGAAGTTATTGCCTTAGGTGACTTGCAAGCGCAAAAAGAAGTCCAGGAGAAGCTTCACAGGCCTCTGTTGTGCGCCGTCCACGAGCGCGATGTGTTGAAGTACTTCTGCGAAACCTGTGATGAGCCTGTTTGCCGCGAGTGCCTGATTATCGATCATCGAGAGCATCATTATGGTTACTTGAAAGATGTGGATAAGAGACATCGCTCCGAGGTAGGATGGTCAGTTTTTAGTAGATAAAAAAGAATATTTCATATTTCTCCATAACTGGAGTACATATCTAAGCGGCGTCAACTGAATCTCTTCATTTTATTCCGCATAAAATACTTGGAAATGTAATAACTGGCGTGATCTAACTACGCATTCAGTTGTGAAATATTGTAATCTTTCGTCCGAAAGCGCATGCAACGCTGGTAACCAAGGACTCTAATATATACACACTATAGATTGCTATTTGACATATCACCAGTAAAAAGAAATTGTGAGTTAACTGAGGAAAAATAGGTAAGCAGGTAGCAGGAGCTTGAATTTAAATCTGTCCCCAGTTGTTAAATTCGACTCGAATTAGCATTCCCATGTAACTTTAAAATGTGAAATCACCTTTGGGTTTTGGGTAAATTATGTTCACTTGGTAGTTGAAGTTATTGCTTGTTTTCCCATAGATTTAAAACATGATTTAAAGTTGTTAGTTGACATTCTTTGTTTTGTTGTTTGCTGCTAATTGTTTTCATATGTTTTTCCCAGGTTGGAGTCCTCGTCATGAACACGAAAAAAAGAATCGGTCCATTAAAACAGGCCATCGAAAAAGTAGCCGAAACTAAACAGAAGCTCGATTGTAAACTGGAGGAAGTTCGGCAGCAAGTGATGCAAAACTGCAAGCGATGCAGAGAAGTCGTTTCAGAAAGAGAAGAAGAAATTCTGACACAAGTAAACAACATTTACCGTATGAAATCCAAAACTCTGGAAATCCAACTCGATGAGCTAGAGATGATGCTGGGGAATCTAAACAGCAGTATTGATTTTACCGAAAGTCTCCTCAGGCACGGCAACGAGGCTGAAGTCATGCTTGTAAAAAAGCAAATGACTCAACGTTTGCAAGATTTGAACAACACGAAGCTAGAGCACTTGCCATTAGAGGATGATCTCATCGACTACACATTCTCTGCTGACGAGTTTAGAAAGGCTATTGAGCATATCGGTGAGGTGAAGGTTTATCATGCTTATCCGCCATATTGTTTTGCCACTGGTGTCGGAATTCATCGAGCCAAATCTGGATTGGAAGCAGTGTTTCTTGTTACTACTAAAGACAGAATGAACGAGATCTACAGCGGCAAAGGCGAACCAATCAGCGTGGAGATTGCCCCACCCGAGGGAGATCCCGTACCAAGTAAGCCCAGAGCCCAGTTTCTCACTTTCGTTACTTTCAGAGTTCACACAACTTGCCAAATTCACTGCAAAGCTTTTTTTTTTTGCTATGAGCTTGGTATGAAGAATCGTTCGAAATACGTTAAAAAGATATTTTTTAATTGTTTGATAGCGTACGTAATTGACAACGAAGATGGCACCTTTACGGTATCCTACCAACCAATAGTCCGAGGAGCGCACCAGATTAAAATCACCATGAGAAACATCAATATCAACGGCAGTCCCTTCACTGTTAACGTGACTGGAAGAATGGACTTTGCTAAGGTTGGGAAAGTCCTGGCATGCTTTGGCTGCGAGGGGTCTGGAGGAGGTAAGGAGTAATGGGACTGCAGAAACCTTAAGGAGTAGTTAAAATCTCAAGTCACCTGTTACTTTGACTTGATTTAGAGCTTAGTGCTCTCACTATCAGGTCTAGAGAAGAATCTACTTTTAGCCCTTCTGCATCTTTTATTTCTTTCTTTCTTTATTTATTTATGTATTTATTCGTTTGTTTGTTTGCTTGTTTTCGCAAACGCTTAAACATGCTTTAAATTGTCCTGCGCTTCTAGGTTGTCACTGGTTAGAACATCAAATCGTAATTTRTTTGTCATYCTATTTTGRATCTTYCCACATGYTTAGACTGTTACAAGTTGRACTGTCAAMGTTTTAWTGTCAGTTAGTTAGTGTGAAATGTTTTCTTAACAATGTTAAGGCTTTATTGCTGATTGTTTCCTCCAATTTACAGGTGAATTCAACATGCCATGGGGCGTCGCCATCGATGATGAAAACAATCACCTGATTGTAACAGATTGTAACAACCACCGAGTGCAGGTCTTTGACTTTGAGGGAACCTTCATGTTCAAGTTCGGCTCAGAGGGCACGGAGAAGGGTCAGTTTAAAAACCCGAAAGGCGTCGCCCGCGCTCGTAACGGCCATATAATGGTCGCAGATTGCAACAATCATCGAGTTCAAGTATTCAACGAAGACGGTCGATTCATCAGGAAATTCGGCGTGTATGGGGTTGAGCGACCAGGCCTGTTGAACCATCCGTGCGGCGTGGTTTCCACTGCTGGGGAACTGGTGATAGTGACGGAACAGGATAATCATCGAGTGCAGTTATTCAACATGAACGGGGAGCCAGTGCGACATTTTGGAACCCAGGGCTTTTCTAAGGGGCAGTTTATATACCCGCATCACGTGTGTGTGAACCAGCGGGGGAGGATCATTGTCGCTGACTGCGTGAATGATAGGGTGCAGGTGTTTGACATGGAAGGAAAATACTTATCCGACTTTGGAAAGGAAGGTGAACATTTTATGCATCAGTAGCGTTAACAGAGTGTTTATTAAGAGGCTTCTAGCCCTTCTTCGTAAAGTTCTCCTTTCTAGTATAAGCTGAAGCCATTCTCCTTTATTAATCGATAACATGAGCTACCTTTTAAATATCTGACTAAGGCGTACCTCTTATAGCTTCCTTTTGTCCTCACCCCCTTTTCGATGGACCCCTCTTTTTTCCGTAAGGCCCCTGGTAATCAAGTTAGGCATTCCCTTATAGTTAATTTAACCAATAGTTATTGCATCGCCCTTTCTAACCTGCAGGATCACAAAACGGCCTGTTTGACGGTCCCGAGGGCGTGGCCTGTGATGATGAAGACAACATCTTAGTGTGCGATTACCACAACCACAGAATTCAAGTGTTTGATACTAATGGCGAATTTGTGAGTGCGTTTGGTACGTTTGGCGAAGATGAAGGCTGCTTTAAAAATCCTTGTGGTATCGCTGTAACTAAGGAGGGCAACATTGTTGTTGTCGATAGCGGGAACAACAGAATACAAGTCTTCTAGAAACACTGAACTGATTATGAGAGGCGTGCCTGGCCCCTGAGGCGAGAACTGGACTTGATATAAAGTGTCAGGTCTATGGTTAGCTTCAGCAACTTCAACAATATATTCAGCAACGTTGTAAAGTGGTCAAATTATTGAAGAAAGGTAGATTAGATTGTATCCTAGTTACTGAGATTTAAGAGATGCAGATATACAAGCGAACGATAATGAACTCTCCGAGTCAGCGATAAAACATATGAAGCGTGAACTGTTAAATTCCATACTGAAGAATAAAGTGTCGACTTTCAGGCTAATCTCCGAACATCTCAATACCAATAGGAAAAAAAACTCACGTGTACGGGCCTGTACAGCACGAAAGCAAGTGCTTGTGCGATTTTTCGTGGTTGGATGGCTCGTTCAAATTATTTCCCGTTCTTTTATGACAAGGCAAAATCCTACCAGCGTATTTTCCATAATTTGTCGGAACTTCCATCCTTGTAAATTGGAGTTTTGTAAAAAATAATATGTTATCGAAAAATGTAGGTTAATTTGACTGTAAATTATAATGTTGTTAGTATCACCACATTTATCATAACAGAAAATCTACATTTTTTAATACATGTTAACTTTCGGGAAAATTAGTATTTACATCATTAACCCCTAATTGATTAGTTTCTATTGGCGCCCGACAGTTTAACCCATTGACTTTTGGCTCTTAATTAAAATATCGTGTAAGGTTCTAGCTCTGAGCTAAACAAACTGACATGAACTGATAAATGAATGCCATCGCCAGCACCTAATGACCAGACTTTTGTTCCTGCTCTCTATTCCTCAACGGCAGAGTGGCGGCGAAAACGTTAGGCCTGATGGTACTATACTATACTATTTCTACAGGAGAGAAAACAGTTCCTGTGACCGAGTTATACATAGAGCATTGATTAATACTACCAGCTCTAAAACATGCTGTCCCTTAAAACCAATCGCGACCTCCTTTGCGCGAATTAGACCGTGACGTATATTTTCTCTTCAAATTCTGATTGGTGCGGGGGATAAATTGCATCTAACGTCAGTTACCAGAAAGGACTTGTATCCTATCACGAAATGAAGACTACAGTACACTAACACTCCAATACACTGTGCACTCTGTTCATTTGGTGCGTACATGATGTAGTACTGCAAATTGCCATTTTTCTCGATTCCATGAAACCACGGGGAAATTTTGATACAACGGTCAACTGAATTGATTACTGGGCACCATTTGTTTAATATTTACATTTGGTTATACACCCTTTTAGGGCTAAATGTACATGTAGTTGTATGATCCGACTGGTTACTATGTCGAGATGAACGTAGGACTAAACGAATAATCTACACAGCTTGTAAATAATTTTTATTTTATTTTATATTCGTGTTTCTTTCCTTGGTAATGTTATTTACAATAAAATGTTTTAAAACATCATCCTTTATATCCAGTGATAAGAGCAAGATAGTTGAGCGATACCTTGACTTATATTTGACCCTGTCTTCTGTGTCTTGGGCAGTATAATCAAGTTTTTCATTACCGTAGGCTGCCTTCTGAAATTTGTTACAGATTTCAACAGCATTTCCAAGTTGAGCGACACCGAGGGTGAACGGGTGAACAGAACAACTCTAGTTAATTTTTCTTTAAGTATGTTCTGTTTGTTATCTATATCAGGTATTAATTAAATATTTCTGAATGTAAGAATGACCAAAAATGAAGACGATTTATACACATACAACCCAATTGTAACCAAGACATATGAAGTTTTTTTTTTCGCATATTTCAAGTTTCTTAAAAAAATTTAAAAGTCATCTATCCTTGTGTTTGTCCCTGCTCCGTTCCAGAAGTTACTGACCGCAAAGACTAAAATCTATGCTGACTTTGAAAGGAGACAACAAGAATAATTCCGTTTTAAAAAGTACTTGGTGAGAGTTTCATAAGTCATTTCTATGTTCAAATTGTTACTGGTTTTTCACTACCGTAGAATTGATATTCAGTGTTGTACATCCGTGGAACTTGGAAAGTCTCGCCTTTGCCAGGACCAGGGCCTGAGAAAAAACAAACAAATTTTAAAATAAGCCATAGATTTTTTTTTNCAAGTAGCCTTCCTTGGAGGAGGTATGGATATTTTCTGGAACCACACAATCATATAAATGCTCTTGCATAATTATTTGTAAATTTCACTAGTTATGCAAATACTGAAAGTAACTTGTACACTTTATTCTTACTTATTAGGAACAGGATCCAGTGACTTTGGTAGCCTGGGAATAATTGTTGGCTCTTTGAACCAGATACGGTCCCTCATGGGCCCTTTTTCTCGAGGAACAGAATTTGGGGGTAGAGGATTTTCCTTTGAGCCATGACCCCAAGCTTTGGTGTACTCTTCACATTCCCAGTAGGTCGCATAATCCTTGGCTGGATAACGTCCCAACTCGTGCCTGTTTTAAGTACAGAAAAAAGGTTACAGATCATTAGTTAATGTTGGTTAATTGCCATTTTCTCTAACGAGGGTCTTTGACATTAGCCAAGTAATTTCCAGACATTCAACATCAGTTCTCAGCAGTGGGTATTTATGGTCTGTGACAACAACAGACAAGCTAGATTACATTTTGATTTTCAATTATTTTTCTCAAAATTGTCCCAGAAGTTAAAAATTAATTCACCACAAATGATGCAACACTAAATATAAGAAAGTATTAACTTTTTATTTACTTAGTGAAAGCTCGGTGATCTTTCTGTGTTGTGGTTAAATAAGGATCCATGTGGTATGTCAGAACACCTCTGTCCCTGGGGTAGAACTTCTGACCAGCAACACCCCTGTTTATTGTTGATGGAACAAGATCCTATAAAATCAAGTAAATTTACATATTATAATTACTTAGTATGATGTCTACAGGACTACTGTATTTGGTTGATTGATTGTTCTCTACACCAATAACCCATACATTGTCATTATAAGGTAGGTAAAGTCTGCATACAAGTCAAGTGGCCCATCAGACCAGAGCTTATATCCCAGTTTCCGTAGCATGAAGCATCTATGAGTATTTCTACTCCCCCCTGGATGGGATGCTAGTCCATCATCAGGTTGCCCCCAGCATTAAGTTTGCTGGTACCCATTTACACACCTGGGTGAAGAGAAGCACTGTAAGAGTAAAGTGCCTTGCCCTAGAATATAACACAACCTGTCCCCAGCCAGGACTCGAACCCAAACCGCTCAATCCAGGGACGAGCAGGAGGGGGGTCCTTATAAGGCCCTTAGACTTAATAAGCTCTTAGCTTGAGTGGGAAACTGATTGTGGTCCTAAAAGTGATATTTTACCAATACATTCATCTGGCTTTATTGGCTTTTTAATAATTATATGTTTTGAGGGAACAGGAGAAAATGCAACCATACCTTACTATTTCCTTCCCTGTGGTGATCAGCAAGATTGAATGGTTGTATCCCTGCATTGTAAACAGTATCCAAATTCACTCCTGGTCTCCCTGTGTACTGAGCTGTCATTTCACTACACTGATATCCCATTGTCAAAGGTCTTCTCCATGGTTTTACACTCAACTATTAGAGATACAAAATAAAGTCAAACCTCCACTACTGGCCACCTCTCTACACAATGGCCTGACTTTCCCCTGTTCCCAAGATGGCCATTATGGAGAGGCTCAGCTGAAGCATGTGCATGTACTCTTGAGAGCAAACAAGTCTGATGGCAGAACATATTCAGATGCATAATATATCACTGCTGTTGTTGTTATTGTTGTTTACTTAATTGTTAAACTAAATGTTTCACACTTCTACGATCGTGGTTCACCTTCGCAATGTTGTCCTCTACACAGTGAACTTTCCATGATCCTGGAGCCTTTTTGAATTGCGTGTTGCTGAGTGTCCCTCCATGGGCCTTGTAATCGTGAGTTGTTCCAGTTGTTGTTTGAAAGTGTTCCTTTTCAGTAATGTAATCTGGATTGCCAAGGACTGGTGGCAACACATCATAAACTGTTCTCTGAAAAAAAAAGTACTTGAAAATCTAAGGCTTGTTTCAAACAAGTTGCCTGTTTCATTAAATTGTTGCAAGGGAACACCTCTTGGAGTGCAATTCCAGGATTCTCTTCCAGTGGCGGGCGGGGTATTCTGCAGCTTAGAAGCGTAACCCTTAAACGTGTTTAAAATGTTATTATGGCATGTCGAAGAGCTTTAAATAAAAAAGCTTACAGACGTTTTAACAAAATACACATCAAACTAGAAGAAAGGTAGCAACGGGAAGTCATTGCCATGCAAGCAGTCAGCTCAACCAAAAATACATGTTTAAAGTTAGATGCTTCAGGTCTTACGAAGTGTAGATTTGAAAAAGGAAAGGTGTTTGGTGTAGTTTGTAAGTTAACTAATCACACAAAATACTAATAAAGAAACTCACTCGAAAGCCTTGCGGCGGAAAGTCGTGAGGCGATCTGTAGTAGTGTCCTTTTCCTGTTGATGTTTGGTGAAGATCGTCACGAACTTCAGAGGACATTGCAACTGAGAATTAAATAACTAAGCAAAAGCTGTCTCTCAACAACTAAAATTGTTTGGATCGGTCAAAATAACAAAAGTATCGATAAATTTGTTGTGGAAGCTCTCGAATCTCTCCTCGCGTTCTACTTGTTGCTAATGAAAGGGTTTGTTGTTGTCAAGGGAACGCGCGCGTCTTTTCGATGCTGGTCCGCTGACCAAAATAATGTGGACCCGAAGATTTCAGAAACGTGGAAAACTTGGAAAACTGGCGGAAACTAAGCGTGCGTTCCTTTGGACTGATCACCCATATCGGGTCAGATCGTGGTGCGTCAATGGAAACCATAAACCCACTTCAAGCCAGCAGAATTCATCGGTTTCTTTGATGCGCAATCTTGGATCAATTCCCAAAGGAATGCACCCTTATAGGGTCCTTATAATTGGCCTAAGTCCGGCTGTAGGTTTGACCATCATATCCGCTGCCATTAAACAGTAGAACACTTTGGACAAATGCTGCCGTCAAGGCATGCAAATCAAAGACGCAAGAAGCGTTTTATGCTCTTGATGACATTGTTGACATGTTACCTCGTAGTAAGCATAACAGAGGTTCACCCAACCAAAACACGTTCAAGAGTTACTCACCACTGGACCAAAGTGTTCTGCATATAGATTAGAAAAGACTTCAATAACAAAGTATGGAATCATGCACAGTTACTAAATGTCATCGCCTGTATGACTGTCCGGTATCTATGTTTGGAGTATCTTCAACTAATCATGCAGTGTAATGCTAATAATTAATATTTCAAGCTAGAAATAATGAATATTGATTAAGAAATTTTGATTAAACGCAAGTGCCAATGGGACTAATGGGGTCGAATATTTAAACATTGAAAACAAATACATATTACAAATTTAACGCATAAATCAAAAATCTGGGCAGGGGGCAAATCAAGTGCCCTGAGTAGCAGTACTCTTCTTTTCCCAGTATCTTTCAGCGTTTTTT